CACTCTGCTCGGCCACTGGAACGCAAGTGTATCTTTCTCAACTTTCTCAATATCATAAACAAAAGCAAGCAACAAAGAATAACTTTAAATATTGCGTAAAAATGTTTCTACTCTGTAATCGTATTTAACAATTGAATCTCTCCCAACCCACTCGTGGAGCTAAATCCTTGTTTTATGATATGATATCTTCACAGGTGGCTTTTATCAGGATGAAATGGGACAAGCTGGATCTAAAAAATGCAGTAATGGTACATTTGTTTCTGAACAGCGAAGTCCTGGTACCAAAGCTACCGACTGCGTGGCATGTCCATATGGTAAGTGTAGTGTTCGATTTGGGCAAACTGCACCATTCTTCGATTAAAATATACTTTGGGTGACACTAAGTTTTAATAAAAGGATTGTCACAGCTATTTCTTTAACACATAGCAGTCACAGAACACAGTCAACTGTAGTGTACTGTTAGAAGCCCTCTTTACAGAACAGAAAGATGAGCTGAGATTACTTGCTCAATTGTACTTGTTTTTTTCGGTTGTTATTTATTTTTGGCGAAATCCAAAGATATCTCATTTTAAAGTATATCCATTTACTTCGCTGGTGAAGTCGTATTTCTTGGTTGATTCAAAGAGGAGAGTAAGTGGATTCATGGAAAAGCCCTTTTATGAATGCTTTATTATAATTGCTAAGAAAAGAAACATTCCTTCCCAGGTACGATCTCCAACGAGACTGCTGAATATCGTGCATGCAGATGCCTACACAACTTCTATCGGTTGGATCGTTTTGGCCCGTGCACAGCATGTCCGCCAAACGGTTTTGTTTGTGAGAAGGATATAGCAATACTTGCTCCTAACTATTTCTGGAAATGGGTGGACCATTCTGAAAAAGAACGTTTCAAGGGTTTTGTTAACAATATTTATTCTTTTGGACCAGACTACAACAAGTCATATTCCACGTTCAATACTTCACTTCCAAAGCCACTCAAATGTCCCCATGCCAAGTCCTGCAAGGGTGGAATTGACTCAGAATGCCATCAAGGATATCAAGGGACTTTGTGTGCAACTTGCTCTGAAGGCTTCTATTTTCGCTTCAACTCTTGTTTGAAATGTCCCCAGTTACCTGTAACTATAACTTCATCCATCTTAGTAATTGCTCTATTTGTTGCTATGTTTCTAATGGTTCTTTGGGGTGATTCAAAACGTGCAGAGAATAACCGGACAGTTGCGGATGTCATCATGTCGTGCTTTAAGATTGTGATTGGTTTTTACCAAGTCATCTCTGGTATTTTCTCAGCATTGGCGAAAGTCCAGTGGCCAGTCGTTTTGATCTCAACGGAGAAGGTTCTAAAACTGTTTGAAGGGAACATCTTGCAGTTTGCCCCTCTTAGTTGCATTCATACTTCTCTACGGCTTGATCAGCTTGGAAAGTTCACAATGATTGTTTTCATGAATGTCTCACTCGTTGGCTTGATTTTCTTGTATCTATTTCTTAAAAAACGCTACATCATGAATAAGGAGGACCTTGGCGAAGACCAGAGAGTGATGGAAGTTAAGAGTTTGAAGAAATCTTGCTATCGGAATATTTTTCTATTGTTGTTGACGACCTACCCCACGACGAGCAAATCGATTATTCAGATTCTACCTCTTCCTGGTGCATGTGTAGAGACTTGTTTCACAGACGACAAGAGCGACTGCATCTTCCTGCTGAGAGCTGACCACTCAATCCAGTGTTTCACTCCTCGCCACAGCTTGTATTGGCTCATGGCTTCTATTTTGGTATTATATCCCGTGGGATTTCCACTTCTGGCTCTGTTTCTCACTTACAAGTATCGCGAGTCGTACGAAAACGAAGCGGTCTCTTTCGGACTCAGAGTGTTCTTTGAAAACTATAAGAAGAAATTTTGGTTCTGGGAAATCACAGAGATGTATCGCAAGCTGATTCTAACGTCATTGATTTTTCTTTTCGTATCAAAGAGCCTTTCTCAAATCGGTCTCACAGTTCTGACAGTCAGCGTCTTTGGAGTGGTCTACACCTTATTCCGACCAATAAAGAACAAGTTTGAAGACCGCTTACAAACATTTGTTCTTTGGATAATTTTCTTTGACGTTTGTCTTGGTGCAGTTTACACAAACTGGGATGAGAGTCAAGGAGGGGACAAGAACGACTCCATCTTTGTAAATGTCTTGTTCGTTGTCCTTAACGCCTCTATACTGTTGCTTTCCATTGGTAAGTCAACATGCTGCTCTGTTTCATTAAATGTGCATTTCAGTCATTTGCCAAATAAATCAAGGGAAGGTACCGTGGATTGTGGTGGTTTTCTCAATCCCTCAGTTTTTCCGTTTTCCGCGCCATGAAAGTATTATGATAAAATCATTAAGTAGCCTTGTCCAGGTTATTTAGGATATTTGACTCTCTACAACATTATAATCTTAAAACAGATCGCGATGTTTGGTCAATTCTTCCCGAAGGTTAACTTTTCCTGTAAGTAGAACTTTGAGACCTTGTAATCCTGACAGCTTTTTAGGATGTAGTTTACAAAATGTAGCTATGGAAGCCGCTAAGGAGGGAGAATTTGAGATATCTTCTTTATACATCTCCTGTAGTGTTTCAACTTTAAGCAGTATTAGTAGAAGACAATAAACTGCGAGGTACAGTTGGAGTGTAATGAATATTGAGATCTTAGAAAAAAATCCAAATCATTGTGCGAACGAAATGTCAACACCCATTCTCAAAACGCTTCTTAGCAAGAGCGAGAACAAAGACATATTTCAGAAAAAAGGGACTCCTTATTGTTTTTAACCCTTTCGTGTAAGATTCCATGTACAAATGATGACCTCCGTCTTTTTCTTTCTCCTACTTTACAGGAAAAGGAATTCTATATGTGAAGTCAATTTGGAAGTACGTTACCTTCAACCCGATCCGATGTTTCAGCTTCCTTCGCCAAGGAGTATCACGTCTCAAAAGTAGAGTGGTCACAAGAACAGGAACATCCGATGAACTTTCACCCTTGATTGAAGAAAGAAACTGAAGAACTTCACTGAAATATTTGTCTTAAAACTTTTTTACTATGCCTCACGAAATATCTCGCTTTAGGTGGCTTAAACATTTAGTTCAATATTTTGCTTTAAAGTAGCTTACTGGGTGGCAGCTGGAGTTTTCAGTTTACAGATCCAGACATGTTCTTCCTATCTCTTTAAGGAATTGTCTCTGGTGAACCTTTTCTGTCCGTTACCTCGTTGACTATTTCAACCCAGTGGAGGGTAAATATTTTGCTCCTTTTACAACGAGCCAGATTTTTCCCTTATGTCTTTACATCGCCAGCAGTAAAGAAATGAGCTTAGGGATGAATTGAGGAATGTCACAGTCTCAGTTAGACGGTGTAACAGATGATGATACAATGCACCTTTTTCAATCACCATGTCAACCAGGGAGGTTGCCATGACTAACGAATTACAAAACACATAAGCGTCTCGCGTGTTTTCAGCGTTTGCGGCTGTTGCGTGGATCAGCTTTCCTTGTCACACGCGTGAATCTCCATGTTTACTTTATTTTGCGCTTGTGAATGTGTCGTTCATTAAGTCTTATTATCTTGTATATCCTGAAAAATAGTGCGATGTTTAACGCAAGGCTGAATCCAATGAGACCGGAAGAAATTGAAGAAAAAAATCGTCGTTTTATACTTTCAATGCTCTGCAGTTATCATTAAGGATAAGACACAAAGCCCAAATTGTGGTGACGATTGCTATAAGTCAAGTTTTTGTCATACAGTTGTGTAGTTGAGGGAATAGACAATTGCAAAGAACCAAGGCAATCAGGCGAAGCGTTATTTAAGCGACAACAAACTCTGTCTTGATTTCACATCGTTCTTCCTTAAAAACAGAATGAAGTAAAATCAATTCACAGTGGGGAGGGGGGGCAGGCAATAATGTGATGCATCAGCAGGTGGTTATGATTAAAAAGGAAAAAGCAAGAATGAAAACAAAACAAAACATCCATAAATCGCAACTCTTATGGTTACCGAAATTATGTCCCTTCCCTTTTGATGGCCTTTGGTTGGAGAAACGAAAAGGACGCTTTGACCACCGAAATCAACAATAAATATTTTATTTTTCTACCATTTAAGAAATTTTATGTTTAAAAGTAGTTTAACTAACTGGTTGCACCGTTTTAAGCCTTTATTTTTTGCTGCGCGGTAAAAGCGAAAGAACTTCAGAAATTCTCGATTAGATTTTCCCAAATTGCTCTCCAAGAAGAAAAAGGATCATCCTCTGGTATACTAGCATTTTCTGATTTCGAATATAATCAAAACGAAATTGAAAAGCTCTGAAACATCAAGCGAGACAAGGAAGCCCCAATTTTCAAGTTTCCAAAAGGACAAATAGGAAATCGTGTCAGCATTTCAAACAGTGACGTCAGATTTCATTCGGTTCTGGTAGATTCTAGTCTCTTCCGTCCACATTTCGACAGTTCCATGAAACTTTGGACATTATCGTCCCTTTTCAGAAGCTTCTGTCCGACTTCGGATGCAGTCGTCGAATTCTGACGCTATCGTCAAAATTCGGACGCTATCTTCCACTTTTCGGACGTTATCGCCCAAGTTAGATGCAATCGTCTGATCCGCCGTCAGACTCTTTTGTCTGGTTTTGGTCACTTCTGTCCAATTTCGAACGTTATTGTCTGAATTCGGAGACAGATGCTAACAACAGGGCAGCACCAAGTCTTATAAATAGCCTGGACGTGTTTGGAAGTATCTGCTAAGTCTTCGTAAGTTCTCCCGGAGAACATTCATCATCTCATGAAATGTCAATGGCAATTTCGACGATATCAATGGCCACAAAAGGCACAATTCATTCCAGCGAAATACTTGAATTTTTTTTCGTATACACGTTGTTGAAAACTTCGTCGAAGTCATCCATTTAGATATGTGAATAAGCAAGTAAATGACGTTGTTAACCACAAAATGGGTGTCCTGTGCAAGTTCTCTTCATTAGTATTCACCAGTCATAAATTTGTAACAAATGACACTTAATGTCTATTTGCATAATTATTTTAGAGAGGGCGCTCGAAATGACATTTGCATCTTGAAGAGGCATTGGCCAGAGGCAACGAAATCGCTTTCTCTTTAATCTGAGAAAAATCAAAAGGGTTTTGCCATGGAATCTGACGATAGCAGTGAAGCGGGTAAAGCGGCTAAGAATGAAGAACCTGCTGAAAATGGCAGTGAACGGCTTATCACAATCGCGGCGTTTTTCGCATTTGGTTTTATCTTGTACTCCGTCTATTCTTTGCTGATTGCCGCTGCTGAAGACATTCTACGCGGCAGTGACATTCCAACTTCAGCCGTGATATCATGTATTGTCGGACCGTACGTGTTTATAACTCTCATATCTCCGTATTTTGCTCAGAACGTTCCGTACCTGCCTCGTGTTATAGTGGTGTTTATACTGTACGAAGCAGGATTGTTTAGTTTGGTTTACGTAACAGACGTTCGAGCGAAGTTACTCTCTGTTTGCTTGGTATCGTTTGCCTTCGGCGTGGGTGAAATGTCGAGTATAGCCATGACATCGTTTTATAATCCTGTGGTTGTTGGAGTATTTTCGGCGGGTACTGGTGTTGGATTCATAACAGCTCCCCTATATTACACAGGTATATGAAATAAAACTGGTAAATAAGCTTCTTTTAACTGAATCCCGACTACACATTCAAGCAAGCTCTTTTTAAAATTAAAGTAGTACTTACAAACGTTCTTTAAAGAAAATGTTTTAAGGCGCTAGGTCTAAAACCATGAAGTTAAATGAACTAAATTTCTTTTCAAATACCGAGGAATTGATGACATATGTCAAGGCCTAGCGATCGACTGCTCATTTGATTATGTGGCTAAATATTCTCAACAGATATTCAATTAGTACTGGTGCGTGAGGACTCCCGATGTTAACCAAGTCATAAACCTTTAATTGTGCCCAAATTTCGGTGATTTTTGTATGTAGAATCTTAACACAATTGCAAAAACTAAAAGCAAACATCATGTATATGTATTTTAGAGTTTGCACGAATTATATTGTTTTCCAGACGACTCTAACTAAAAATTCCGAGGAACATCTTTCGTTACCGCAACGACGATATAAACGCTTTTTGCGAAGAGTGGTTTTCAAATTTGTCGAATTATAAACGGTCTAATGCGTTCTCAGAATTTTCCCGTTATGACAGACTTGTATTGTTTGACAAACGGCTCAAGGCAGGTATTTAACACTTACGTTTGGTAAAAATCGATGAGGCAATTCACTGTGAATATGCAAATATAGGTAAATTGCAGCAACATTTGAAAATACTTCTGTTATTAAATTGTGTGCATTTCTTTTTAACTGCTTTTAAGTATCATATTTAGCTTAGAAATTCCCATAGCGAGTCTATCAGCGCTAAAATTGAATGGTAAAGTTTCCGCACAGCCCCATACTATTGTAAAACAAATCTGTTTTTCCAGTGGAAATGTATTGTTTTTGTCATTGTTTTCTCTATCTAAGAACTGAATGCATAATGTGGTATGGGGCTGTGCGGAAATTTTAGCAATTGAATGAGACTTCTATGTGAACAACACCCATTTTCAGTTACGGTAGCGATAGACCGCATTTCGAATATTCGTAGTTCAACTCAGTACACTAGGAGTGCAAACTAATTGATCACTATACGCGGCGAGCCTGAATGTACATTCTCTTTAACGTTTTGGTGTCTGCAATTACATGACGAGGTCAGGGTAAATTTTCCCCCTTCCTGTGTTTAATACATCGGGGTATAATTCCTGAGCCCAAAAGAAAATTAAATTATTTTAACATGAAGAGCTGGCAGCGGAGAGGCGAAGCTGGAAAGAAAACAAAGAAATTTACGACTCTAAAAAGAAAGAAAATTTGAAGGAAACGACACTTAACTCTCCTCGAGGGAATTTTTCTCCCAATAAAAAATATTTAAGAACCAGTTAAAAGACAAGGTGCTGTCTCCGACGAATTTGTGGTACGCGATGTGTTTGACGCTTGTGGTTAACAAGTTATGGGACAAACATAATATTTGCGGAGCCTTTAAAACAAAAACACGAAGCAGGAAGTTAATTGTTCAGTTTATGTATATTCTTTTCTTTTTTTCCTGAATACTTCCAGCAATGACCACATGGTTTTGTGTATCCTCCGAGAAAACGACTGTTACAGTAGCATTCCTTGTCGTGCTTAATTTGGTGTTTTACGCGCTGATGGAACGAAAACACAACCGGTCGACGTCAAGAACATCACGATGTAACTGCTTTAGTGGTGCACAGTATGAGAAAGTCGAGGAAAACAAAGATGAAGACAAAGAACAGACTGGTCCCTCCCCTCCCCTGTTGACGACAGCGGAGAAACTTCGAGCCATCAAGCAGATCTGTCCAACAGTACTTTGCGTAGTGATTTCGTGGATGTCCGAGTTCTTGGTGACACAAGGTGTCATCACGACCTACGCATTTCCTAACTCACCCTTCCCCCCAAGGGATCATTACCAATATTACATCACCTTGTTCCTGTTAGGCGAATTCATCGGTCGATCATACCTGGCTCTTATCTCACTGATCAATCAAGACCTCATTCCCAAAGTAACAGTTCACAAGTTGTGGCTACTGACCATCATAGAGGTCAGCATTCTGGTGTTTTGCCTTTTCGCTGCCTGGTATCGTTTCCTTCCGGACATAACATATTTATTGATTATCTCCTTCCTCGCTGGGCTAATAATTGGAATTATGTACGCAAACGTACTCCAAGTGTTCACTGATTCGTACGAGGTTCCCTTGCGCGAATTTGTTTTAGGGTTTGTCGCTGTGGCCACGGGTATGGGAATATTAATCGCTGGTTTACTTGGACTTGTGGTGGAACCATCTTTTAGAAAACATTGCATGACGATAACAGATTTATCAGAATATTGTTTCACAAGAACAGATCCGAATGCAATTTCTAACATCACTGCTTCGTGTCATAATTAAAATTCAATGATAAAGAGCTTAGAAGACCATGTGAGTCGCAGAAAACGATAGGAAAACAAAACAAAGCACTTGACAGAGGCTAAATCGTTGAGTGTTCATTTTCCTTTACCTTATTGTTTCTTCAAGAAGGCAATGTCCTCTTTAAAGCCTATTTGATTTTGATATTTAGGTAGAAAGACTTGGGAAGGTCTTACTGCTGTAAGAGCGAGGGAATGAATAAACAAATAAAATAGCGAAAGTCTACGCGAATAAGCGAGTTGATTATGTATCGATCATTTCGAAGCTTCAATATCCCACCCCGGGCAACCCCCACTCCCCCCTCCCGTCTCCCCGGGGTTCGTTCAAATTTCCGCTCCTCGGGGTCAAAATTGTGTTTAATGCCCCATTAAAGTGCCGGATTTTATCGTCCATTTTTTAACGCAAGATCAGCGACCGTGACGTTCCTGTAGCCTTTTTCTTCTGAGGCATCTGCTAGCGAAAGTGAACTCTTTTATCTTTATCCTTACCTTCCATATTAAAAGATAAAACACGTTTATTCCGCTGGAAAGACTTCACTTTCCGGTACAAATTCCCACCCCATTTAGGCAAGGTTCAAATTTCCAGCGCACGGCGCATTAATAGGTGTGAGGCTTGTCCTGAGTGGGACAATCGTCGATGATGGTAACTGACTTATCGACAACAAGAGTGCACGTCAACATCACACTAAAGTGAGGAAACCAGATCTTGTGACTCGAATATGATAAAGTGTGTTATTCACTCTTAAAAGTTGGTTGATTTAGGCAATAAGAGCTACAACAAAAGCCAAAACAATTCGAAAGACACCGTGCTTTCAAGAAGGCAAATTGTGTATAGACGGACAGATAGACGGAGATAAAACGACCACTCGACAATCTGACGAATATGCAGACTAAAAAATGGAGTAGCCAGACAAAAACATGAAAAGTGTTTCTTAAATAGATTTCATTTTAAACACGACTTTTTACAAGCATGTCTATCATTCTCTGACATTTGATGGAAAGAATGGAAGCCAATAGCCTTGGCCAAGATATGAAGTAAGTGAATTCGATAGACTTCACATAGCCGTGCTTACGCATGAGGTGAAAACTATCTTTCTAGGAAATCAAAGAAATTTGGATCTGTGAGTTTCATTTTAACTTAATGATTGGAAAGGCTCGGTGGCATTGAAAGTCAAACTCTGGTGGAATCTAGAAGAGAAAAAATAAACAAAAACATTACACAAGCAAAACAAAATTTTAAAAAATTCATTACCTGTTTACTAGTACAGCAGTAGTTTGGACCTATTTACATCGCCTATTGTAGCTAAAGAGTATCGAATCACCAGCTTCCCCCAGGCCAGCGGCCTGCATGTATTTACTTAGGATTCTCATTAACTCCTTGGGGCATCTCCTTTCAACCTGATTGGCCAATGGTTTGGTTTACTGTACTCAAAAAAAAAAAAGTTCTCTCCTTTCTACCGTTCTTATTTGTGAAAAGCTGCTAATGCTCACCTTGGAGTCATGTTTGTGGCCTCCAGCAGCCAGTTTAGTGACAACGAGATTTGTCTTCGTCACTTTTAGTAACAGTGCAACCTAAAAAAATGACCAACACAATCACAAACATTAGTAAGAAGAAAACCCTTTAAGAACCTTTAACTATTTTGATCCAAAAGCTAGTTTTAAGGGAGGAAACTTTGATGGGAGCCTACCTCTATTTTCTCTCCTTTTCGCTACAAAAGCAGCAAACGAAAGAAGATAAGCTGGTTGGGCTGCGTACAGATTCGAGAAGAATATCCACCTTTGATGGGAGAGGAGACTTATAAAAGATTGTCACATGCGGAAAGTCTTATCAGGTGACTTAAAAACATTGGTACAAAGAAAATTGACGAGCTTTGCTAAATGGTGGTAGGCTGTCCCTCAGTGCAAATAAGTTGGTCATTTAGACCAGCCGACCACTGCAGTCGATCAGGTGAGCGAAGAAGCAGTGATTGCCAGGGAAAAGACCACCTCACTTTTCTTTGCCGTTTTATGGTGCGAGCTCGCTTTTTTACTCGTTTTCCCAGACCAAAAACTAGCTCGGCACAGAGAGGGCAGAGCTGATTCAAAATGCTCGAAAGAAGCGTAAAAGTTGAAGCGCAAAGTAGTCGCTGGCTTAAACCACTCGCCATAAATCGGATAAAGAGATCAACAAACTTCAATGCTTTGAAACGGCTGGTATCCTCACCTCACTATGTACATTATTAACAACTTCAAAAATGGACTTCGCTTGCTGAAATGAATTCGATGCCATCACAAACAGGTCTGTGTTCTGAAAATAATGAGACCAGAAAAATTTTCAGATTAATCACGACAGTTCCCCCGGCAAGACGGAGGAAATGTAAAACGTTCTATCTACTATAACGGAGACTCCAAATTTCCAAGAATTTGATGGTAGTTTGGCTTCACTTCAGACTTATACCAATTCTCCAATTTAACTCTGGAAATGGCTACAGATTGCTCCGGACTACTTTGTCTATTTGGGGTGCTTGTTGAAACTCAAGAGTTAACACTGCCAGCAAGATGTTAACATCTTTATTGAGAGAGTATCACTCTGCACGGCGGCCGGTAACGGGGGATGGATAGTCGCGTGGCAGCTTATTTGTGCGGCCTCACCGCCCTCGTTTATCTAAAAAACAAACACAAAAAACAAAAAAGAAGTGTTTCGAATGCAGCATTATTCAATGCTGGCAGGAGGAAACGTCCCAGATCTTATATTATCGTTCAGCAGTTCACCGCTTTTTTTCTCCAGTCATGATTAGCTCGTAATGAATACTCCGGAAAACAAATTGATCGCGCTCCCAGAGGGAGTTGAGTTTACATATGAACCAATTGCCAATTCAGGTGGTCTAGGTTTACCTTTAGAAATTCATGTTAGCTTGGCCAGAAGACCAGGTTCGCGTAACAAATACCCTGCATACCGCAAGGAACTGAATAACTGGAGAAAGAAATTGAGACTTCTTCCAGCAGGAGCAATGTTTACATAGCTGTAATTTGTTTTGGTATTAAACTTTCACCTGCGATGCATTCATCTTGGACAAGTTGCTATACTCCTTGTAATGCGCGTAATACATCGGCTGAGGGGTATCCACAGCTTGGAATGGCATGAAACGGCGCTCATAGCGGGTCTGTAATTATGAAATGAATAAAAAGATAATAAAAATTAGTTGACTGGCACTATGAAGTACAATTAATCATAAAGATCACAACAACACGGAGTTACAGTATATTCTGATTTTTCCAATATTTCCAACGAAACTTCTTAAGTACAGAAGTAAAGTTGAAAAAATATCTCCACAACGAATGGAGATATTAAATGCACCAACGGATGGCAGTAAAGTGAGCAAAAAAATTCCAATTATTAAGAAAGCAAATCGGACACTGTACTCCTGTCACCAATACACCGAACACACATGAAACCTCTGCGGTGTTGTATATTCCATGTATGCTTTGTGTCTCTGAAACAACTCACGGCCGAAACACGAGCAGGCTCTACTCATATGAATTCTTGATGTGATAGGTGAAACAACTAAGTTCACTGTTTCTTCAGGTGTGCTTACTTTCAAAACAACTTTTTTTTGTGGTAAATTTTGACTTCTTGGTACGCACCTGTTCGGAACCAAATTTATCCGCAGGCTTTCTTGTTTTGTTTTGCATTTCAAACCCCTCAATTGCCTGTCAAAAGAATAGGATTTCAGGAAAAACACGTTAGCTTAAGATAGCATGAATGCATGTATCTTTGAGAAATCGAAATAATCAACCCTTATCCCTTGGTATTGTGGATATTTAACTTCTACAAATAGACATAGACTGCACTGCTGAGAGAGCACTGGGGCCATGCGCATTAACTTAAGACTGAGATCAAAAGACATCAAATTGGTATTGTTACCCTGAGATATCCTTGACACAGGTGCCTCATTCCTTGATATAAGTGCCACATTCCTTGGTGTTCCTGTATGGCTTTTTCACTCGCTAACAAAAACGAATTCAACTGTGTTTAATACACGAGAAGCAACACGGCTCTGTTCCACAGAGCAGTACAGAAACGGAACACGTATTCACCGGTTTTGGAGAAATTTTTGCCCTTATTCAGTGAATCACTTAAGGAAAACCGAGACTAACAAAGAGGAGCTTCTTCTCAGTACTCCATCAATGAACTTTATGTACAGCACGATGAAAGCTAAAACAACTTAAATATATTACCAAACGTAAATGTCCTGAGCGGTCATGCCCGAAGAGGAGAAGAGAGGGGGAAGGGAGAGAGTAAGGGATAGCTTTATTGTGACTGATTCAGAGAAGTCCATCGTACGGGGAAAATTTAAAACAAAAGCAAAAAAACCTAAGCTCGCTCTTTCTTACCCTTCTTTTTCTTTTTATTTTTCTTTCCACTCCGTCCACTTCTCTGCTCTGAAATAAATGAAGGAATGTAAGTTCGTTTGACCCTCAGACACACTAACATCAGCGGGTATTTACGTTCTCCTTACTGTTCTCCATACTTTTCCTTAGGTGCTGACAAGGAGAATTTGTTTAACAATCAAGAGCCTCTTTAGTAAGTGATCATTTCCTTTATTCTTGTGACCTGAATGTATGATTCAGGGGTGATATTGTGAGGAGAAATTACATGCTGGTCACTCGAAGGGGTCAAAGGGTTAATTTACAGGGATAGGGATAGTAACACCACAGTTACGCTTGTTAAAAAAAATACATGCAAAAATTTCAGCGTGGGGTTATTAACTAGGAGTACAATGATTAATTCTGTAAAAATAGTACTAAAAGTTTGAAAATAAAATGAAAGTTTATAAAAAGTGAAAAGATGATTTCTCATGGAAACTAGCATGGATAAGCAATCGTGAATTTAACAGACTGTAAACACTCTATTGTATTGACTATCTGAAAATTTACGAGGAATGGAGCAACGAGATCAACGAAATGCCTCCTAACTGAGAAATTCACCTTCAAATTCAGTCCTCAGACATTGTTTGGTATTTTTCATGAAACTCTCCAGTAAACTCCTAGTTAAAAATCGCCACACTTTTGCGAGTGTGTAATTTACGACACACGATTGAAAATTGCTCTTCATTTTGTGTCTACCTACCTAGTGCAGTCTCTTGGGCCTGCAGTAATTTTTCAGCACGATTAAGGCACGTCATGTGCCATCCGAACAAGAAGTCCAGGTACCTGAGAAGTCAAAAAAATACAATTCAAGCTTCGGAGGAAAAAACCCACTCCTCATCGGCGGTTTTGAGTTGCGATATCTTACCAGAAAACGTAGTGATACTCGTGCGGACTGTAGAGTTCCAACTCAAACCCAGACAACAGATATTGAATCATGATGTTTAGTGTATGGTACAACACCCATGACCCAAAACAGGCAAAGTGCTGACGCTAGAAAATACAGAAAGGAAAAAAAAAAACATTAAGTCAGTATAAGTTTTTTCTTTCTTTGGTTTCTGGTCTTCAAAAACAAACAAAATGATTCTTGTCTTGGACTGGAAGAGCAGTTATATGGTTCCTATTGATAAGGTGTCTATTAATCTTTCACTAACGTAATTACCAATCAGCCAATCGCCAAAAAATTGAGGTCGAGGGAATGGCAAAAATGAAAGCAAAGAATGCGAAAGCAACGAAGCAAACAATCTTCGTTTGTTTTCGACTCAGTAACTCATCGCTCTAATAATCACTTACTTTCAAAATTGTTCCTACCTGAGGCTCTACTTTGATTAACAAAGTATGAAGTTGCGCATCTACTTTGTCTGCCTGGAAATGAAAGAAAAGGGTCCTTTCTTAATCTGAATTACAATACAGCAAACCTTTTTCTTTAGTGTTAGTTTCCAACAAGTATTCCCCATACAAAACTTCTAGCAGTTTCGCGCCCATGCATGTAACTTCTAATCTTTTGCCTGTGGGCTATTAAAATTTAATCGATCGCATGAGGTATTTAGTTCACGAAGTATATAAGGTGACATACTTCATCCTGAAGAGCAGCAAATTCCTCCAAAAGATGTGCCAACTTGTCTCTCTGCCGAGCACGATTGTGACCGAGAGCATGGATAATGGACTTTACAGGCTACAAAAAAAAAACAAACAAATAACAAAAAATAAAGTCGTGGAGTTACAAGCAGTACGTGCAAGTAGTAGCGCTAACAATGAGTGGTAAGTATCACTACAATTCGCTGAAATCTGCAGTAAAATGCAGCCCTATCACACAAGCGCCAAAAGAACCGTTATGGCGTTCCGTCCTTTCCATGCAGCTATATTATTTTTGTTGAGAAGTGCAAATATGCTTCCGATGGCCACAAGAAGAAGGCACAACTAATAACAGACGTTAGAAAGTTACTTTCGTAGAGATCAAGACCTACCCTGAAAGCTCTGTTAATAAAACTATCGGCTAGGTCACTCGCTTTGGGGTTGGTACTGAGGGAGGATCTGAGGCAAAAACAAACAAACAAACATAAAAAAGCAACTCTTTATGAAAGGTTCTCAGTAGGCCAGTCTTGTACCAGCAAATATGAAATATGAAAACAAGTGCAAGGTGGAGCTTCATGACTGTCTACAGTCATGTTTCTGTGTTCACTCATTGTAACTGATTAAGTCATTGCGAAGTTTCTGTAGGTCCAAAATGATTGGAACACTAGTAAATATGGCGCACGACGTGACCCGAATCGACTCAACAAAAACAATTACGAGAGAAGTCTGTCGGGTTTCCTAAAAGGCTACTGTACATGACTACAAAACCATGTCCTGTACCCCCCGCCCCCCTGCGTCGTAGTCAACATTATGCTTACTTCTCAGCAATGGACGGCGGACTGTTAAATGCTTTGATTGCATCTCTGATTGTCTCGGCTCTTCCCAAAAGATTATTGTTGCGCCAAACAAGAAGCTGTACATGAAAGGAAAAACATCACGAATGTCACTCAACAAACGTATTTTGTTTGTAGCCTGTCAGTGACACGGTATACGATTGCCTAGCGAGGCCAAAAGTAGGTGACTGACTACTGTAAGCGCAATCATGGCTGTGAAGCCTGTTGGACGGAAAACCGACCATAACGGGCTACTGTTAAAACCCTCCTCGAAAGTCTCTCCTTTCTATAGAAAACTGCTAATGTCAAATTTACTGAGACTGTCTAGTCTTTTGAAATCATTTCCATGTTTTTTTTTCTGTCAGGCACTTCGAGATGGGAGAACAAAAAACTGTGTTTATCCGTGCCACTACCTTTAACTGTGCTCCAAAATTGACGTAAATTTTCAGTTTTCCATTCGCTACAAACTTCTGTCGAGGATTGCGAAACTTTTCAGGAAACAATTCAGGAAAAGAAAGAATAATGGACTGGGATTTTGCGAGAACAGCGCTTCTTATTCCAAGTCAAGAAAGACAACAGATACGTGCGGAATACTAAAAAAACTAAAATGCTTCATAAGTATCATTAAAACAACCAAACTACCTGTAAATATGAGCGTGTCAAAACACACGGCCGTTTCTTGCTAAATTCTGAAACGAAGTCCTGCAACAACACACTGTAAGTGTTAAATTTGAAACGCTCTTTTACTTAGTGATCCATCTAGACATCTTTTAATAAGGTAAATTAATTTGTTGCTGTTGTTCATCTACGTACTCTGCAGATTGACCTTCACGACTACTGCACTTTTTCTGGCAAATAAACCATTGTCACAGAGTTTTTTTCGCAAGACTGAGAGATGCCAGCGAGCACGAAAAATTGGGAAACTTAATTTCAATGACACTATTACACGTCAGTTTGGTATCACTAGTCCCCTGAGGGAAGCACAGGCGAAAATTGTTGTGAGAAAGTAATCAATTCATATGAATAAAGGGGGTAAGAAACGGTGGTGCTGCGTCGGTGGGAGAGTATAACAGGGTAATTTGGTATTATTAACTGAGTTGATTACGTAAATTGGCCATCGTAAAGAGTTTCAAAGCTGACGTTTCGAGCGCTAGCCCTTCGATCTAACAAAGGGCTAACGCTCGAAACGTCAGTTTTTAGACTCTTTACGGTGGCCAATTTACATTATCAACTCAGCTGATAATACCAACTTACCCTGTACTAATTTCAACTTCGGCGCAGACAGACCCTTTTCATGACAAATACTAATAACAGTAAAAATGATCCCCCTGAGGTGCTTATCCGCTACAACTCCTGGTGTGACAGTGAATACGACTTCCAACTGAAGATAACTGATTGAGTTATAAGCATCAGAAATTTCTTGGCTATGATGGGTACAGTCACAGCTCAACAATTCAATGCAGTAATTTTCATGCAACGTTTTAAAAGTTCCACTTACAATTACAATATGAAGCGACGCATAGTTCACAACATCGCAGATATGAAGAAATCTTTTGACCATTTCTTCGGTATAATCAATAGCCTGAAAGAAATTAAACCTCTATAAGAATTTATATAATTAGCTGAAATAGAGACGCAATTTGATCAGTTCTTACTAAACGTATAAAAGGACGTCTTGTTGCAGCGTATAGATCACCCCTGATGAAGGCACTGGATGGGAGTGTCGAAACGTTGGGTCTATGAATTGTAACTTCTCGGTTACATTCATTAAATCTTTAAACCAGAGTGGCATCAAACCATGTCTGATTGTCCACCTGGTTGCCATGTGAACTTTTATACAGCTCTTACTTGTGATCTATGGGGGACAGACGCATCGATGACGTCATCACTGACAACATTTTGCTTTTCCATGATGTCGCGCATCTGTTTTGTCATAGGTCACAGATGACGTCAGACTGTGATAAGAACACCAGTGAGACACTCAGCTGCGCCTGTGTGACACTTTTTTTTATCTGACCACATTTTGACATCATCTGTGATCTTTTACTGCACAGACACATGGATTCTATTTGTTGAAAAATAAAATGTTATAAATCACACTCTTTGGTCAGACATGTAATCTCAATAGTTAATGTGGTGACAGATCTTACATCGAGTTTCTTTTGTCTGTGAATACCATGGTAGTTACCAATAAATATCCTTGCTTCTCACAAGCAGGACCTCACTGGTTTTTCGCACTAGCCGCGATTTCATCAAATTCTGATGGGATATGCAAACTACACATTTTAGCCAGTGGCGATTGGAACCGTGAGTAAATCGCAAAGTAACAGTATGTCACCCTGATATGTAACCTAGCACTTATTCTTGAATCTACCAATTAAAACAGCGCAATGTATGCTTCTGTTTGTCCAAGCTAACAACTGCATGATATACCAGATGAAACACAATTTTGCATCTTTGTTAATTGATAACATTTATTTATTATTTACAACTGTTCACCTGGTATCGACCAAAAATGGCTGTATATCTTGGAAAGGATGGAGGTAAAAGTCTCTGATTGACAAGCGGTTCAAAACCCATTATACTACCTACAAGGACATCCAATAAATAAAAGTGTGTGAGTTGTTCTCCGAGTCTGAAAAGTCTGATACACATCTTTCTGTTACCAGTAACCTAAAAGTATCTAACTATTAACTGTTTGATGAACACAAAATAAATCTAACACCAGTTCAAAATGTATGTCAGAAGAAAAACAATTCAATTCAAATCATTTAGAAAGCATGATGGGATACCTTGCCTGTTATCACCCGTGGATATTGGTTGAACACCTAACTCTACAGTCTTTCTGATTGGTTCAATCAGAGACAATGCAGTGCTTAATGACTGCTTGCCTGAGGCCACACCTGAACCCTAAAAATTGTGGATTTAAGAGTAACAATTCATTTAAGTAGTGCACTCATCACCCAAGAATGGTGTGACACTTGCCATTTCCAACAAAAAAGTAAACAGGAATAAGACTAGTGTGTGCATAGCTACAAATTTTTCTTTGAGTGGTCAATCGAGTATCTCATGAGTGAGCGCAGCACCAAGAGAGATATAGAGTCAAACACTTGAAAATAATTTTCATATCTATGTTGTGGTTCAATTTTATCCTTGATTCAAATTTTATTTTCCTTTGTTTCAAACTCGTTATCTTGCATTACAATACCCAAAAACAAAAGAAAAGAGAATTTGAACCAAGGATAAAATTGAACCACAACATCTACAAGCAACCATGTAGGCCTTTAGCAACAACAACATTTGATGATCTTTGATCAGAGAAGCGTGAAAGGCAAGTGATATGTCAGCAGCTGATTAGCAAAACCAACCACACACAATTTTTTTTTGCAGTTTACATCATGGTTACATTTATACAAGGCAAGGTGCTAAAATATCAATTGGAAGTAGCTAGCAAATGTCAATAATCAGTGCAAAAAATAGAAAATTGTTGAATTATTGAATTTTAGCATTAAGATTCCACACACCTCTGACTTTTCCAGAGCAACTAAAGTGAGGTAGAATGATTTATAGAACTTTAATCTTGCTAAAACAGCTTCATACTCCTTAACTTGGCTCTGCAAGGAAAAAGAAATATTGAGAAACAGATTCTTAAACATACATTTTTATCATCATTTTTCATTCCCACTCTAATTCTCACCGTGAAAAGTGAGCACTATGACAATAAACATTACAGAAATAAACGCAATTACACTTTTTTTTTTCACACCAATTTGTAGAGTACACCATACCTTCACTGTATCTAAGTCACAGTTGGGTTCCTCTCTCAGTCTGGTCTTCAATGGCTGGAAAACAGATTTGAGAGACATACCTTAGGGTATGGTTAAATGAACATTGTGCGGAGGACTGGGATTTAAAAAGCTCTGGTTTATGATGATGTAACCCTTTAGCTCCCACAAGTTACCAATGCAGGGTTTCTCCTTACAATATCAATGTAATATCAAACAGATAAGTGATGAGAATTAAGAAATCTATTAATTAGGGGATTCTTAGTTGATCCAATACCAACTTCTCCAAACTAACATCATGAGAATTGCATGGCAGAAAGTAAGGAAAACTACTCTTGAGATCTTGGGAGTGAAAGGGATTGTACCTTTAATTTTCTACCAACTTCATCTTCTGCCTCTTTCAGCATACCTATAGGAGATTGACATGAAAAAGATTTAAAGTGCTTATAATTATTATTATATTTGTTCATGATTTTGTGATTGTTATGACCTTTTAGTAACCTTCAAACTGAGAGGATACTGATCACAAACCTGCGGCTCTTGTCTCTGTCACTTGAGTTGCAAATTTAAATCCATAAGTAATTGCTTGAAAATCTTCCTGGAAAAAAAATACAGGAATTTCCAAGAACATTCTCCTTGCCAAGCTTTAGTGCTTTGTGTCTTAATTCAGATGCACTTGGCCCAACGTTTAAATGTTGAGATTTTTTTTTATTAAATATGAACTTAATACTAGCCATGGTGATTTTCTCATAATGAAAAACCCAATTTGTCACTGAATCATCATCTTACCTCCTCAAATACTTGAGCTCTGTTAACAATAGACTTGATTAGGTCACAAGTTTTTAACATGGCTATACAAAATGCCTGAAAAGAGATGCAAGGCATCAGACTTTCCTCTTAAGTACAATAATTTTAATCAATACCTAATAAGGACTGCTCTTATTTGTCAAAATTTTATTACTGGTACTTTAATTGTACTGGTAACCCAAGAATATTACCTAACTTAATAGGCCAAACTTTCTAAAGGCTTGTTGATGTAGTATGATTCACTCTGATGAAGGACTAATGCTGGCCAATTTACTCAGTTGATAAGGTCAGATTATCTTGTTGGTGTAATAACCCACATTGAATGTTTAAAGAACACTGGAAAAGTTGTTAAATCATTCACCTTTAACAAGACATTAATAAGCTTTTCACAAGCACTCTAAACATCCTACCTAGGTTTGGTTTAGTGGACAGTGCCCCACCAATGGGAAGTGCAGTCTACTGCTTTTACACAGAATTTTTGAACATTGGAAATAAATTGACATGTGGTTCTTTCACAACAATTCCTAATCCCCTATTTACCCATAAAGTAACTTTAAAACTCTAAGTGTGGTATCAGTAGATGTATGTTAAGTGAGGTTGACAGTAAATTGTGCATTGCGCTCTTAAAAGAAACATGTTACCTTAAGGCAAGGGTCTTCAATGATGAAGGGATTATGCATGTAGAGACAAGTAAAAACGGTCTGTACCAGGGAATGTCCATCTAACCACGTAATCTGTATTTTAGACGAGAGTGAATGACAAAATAATGATAGGATGAGGCCTAAAATGGTGGAAGAATAATCTGGCTAACATAGAGACAAATAGCAGGTTTTAAAGATTCACAGAATAGTCAATTACATGAGGTTGCTGAATCACTGGGTGATTGAATGTTACTCGGCTACCTACTTTCATTGACAGAAGAACTAACAAGGAGATTGAATGACTGACTAACAGACTAAGACACATTGAATGCCCAACTGATTGAGTGACTGTTAAACTAGCTCCATGACTTGATCACCAAATGGGAAACTGGATGCTTGTCTGATTGACCTACTGATGGAGAGACTTATTAACTGGATAACTACCGGTAACAAATTAACTAGTTGTGTTACTTATTCACCAACACCTCCACTGACTGACTGATGCATGGATGCCGATGGACTGACAGACTGACTGACTGACTGACTGACTAACTGATGGACTGAATAATTCTCTGACTGGTTTACTGGCTAATTGATGGCTAGCTAAGTAACTGAACAATTAACTAGCTAAATGGCTGTCTAGCTCACCAAATAGCCTAGTGACTGATTAACTGATCAAACCAAAAGACAAAAATTAACACACAAACCAATTAAGAAAATATTGGCCAACTTATCAAGTTCAAATTTTGCAGTTGATATCAATTTAAATGTACCTACCAAGCAAGCTATCAATTCATCCATGATACCAATAAGTTCTTTGGGAGTTAAATCTTTGATTCTTACAAGACCAGCCTTGGTAAGAAAAAAGGAAATCATGTCTTTTAGATGGGAATTACTCACCAGCTTTCTCCAGCAGTAGATTTTAACAAAATAGTAATAAGCTACTTATCCCATATTTAATTTTAGCATATGCACATCAGTACCAATATGGAAGCATTTTTCAAAGATATTCAATATATGAACAAGGCAGAAAAAAGTTGAGGTCTTCACCTAGTCAAAAATATACTGTGCAGTGGTATCCATCAAAAGAAAGGCAGTATTTTTAAGCAAAGGAAAGTTACATGCTGGTTTGCACTGGACATAAATATAGACAAATAAGATCCCAACACTCACTTTAACTGCTGGCTCAAATTGAAGAACTTTCTTTGCTTTGTTACACAACATTCCAGCATCCATTTTGGGATCCATCATCTCAATTGCTGACATGGCTTCAAACAAGCCAAATCTTGCATAAGGAAAAAAATTAAAAGAAAAAGAGACTTTCTCAGACACTCTCCATTGAAAGCTACAATCTGAAAATTTTGATTGCTGAAAATAGTACAATTATAATAACTATGTACTTACATGTTGTCATGCACAAGCTCACCCAGTTTCAATTCTGTGAGAAAAACAGAAAATGAAAAGTTACCTCAGTCTGTTGACATGTTCATAATCCCTATTTTTAATAATATTGTATGTTTAAGACCACACAATTAGAAAGGAGGGCAAGTCATTAATCTGCACCAATTACTTGTAGACTGTGTGTGCTTCAAGCCTGAAACTAGTGCAAATGTCTCAATTTCTTGGAAAACTTCAGCCTCTTGCACCTCAATCATCGTCAAATTAGGATGAAAGTAATTTAACACAACTTATTCTAATCAAATAGCATTGAATATCAACTACACTCCTTAAAAGAATGGCTGCTTAATTTCATAAAGCTTGCTAATAACTGACTACAAGAAACAGAACATCTTGGTTAGATTACATTTTATACTAGAATGGTCTTACCAGATGCAGCCTCTGTAAAATTGTCTGTAATGTCTTCCCAGTTGTACTGAGGTTCATTTGCACCTGAAGGAAACAGGGAATGAAAGGTTACTGCATTTAACCCTTCAACTACCATGAGTGACCAAGACATAATTTCTCTTTATAATATTAACACAATATCAACCAGATAAGTGATGAGAATAATAAAAAATATTGATTTGGGGATAATTGGTTGATCCAACACTGAACTAACATTACAAGAATTGTATGGTTGACAGTAAGGAGAATTAAAAATTGGATCTTGAGTTAAAGGGTTAATAAACACATGTACTGCCCTGCTACACATTAATCACTCTAAGTGATAATTTAATGTTGACTGAGTGTTCCATTCCATTTGAGTTAGCAAAATTAATGCTTAAAGTATCCAATTTCCATCTTTTTTAGAAAATCACCTAAGGTGTTGAAAACAATGTAATGCAGAACCACAAATGTTTAAATTTCAGATTTATACAGGTTGGCATCTTAACTGTGTTATAGACCAATAAAGTAACAACTACAATAAAAATGGGGAAATGTACACTAATCAGGGTAGGGCACCACCCTTGGGGCTTTAGGGTAACCTTACTTTGAGACATTTTTAATCTGATAAAAGTTACTTTGCTGAAGTTATAATCAATGAAAGAGGGGTAATTCACCTGGTGTACAATTGGTGATATTACACAAGAACAAAACCTGACCCTTTTGCAGAGACAGCTAACTGAAAAATGTCTCACCTGATATCGACTGCAAATTGCAAACTCTATTGCCATAACAAAGTAGGCACCTGATAACTACGCTCCACTACACTAGACTGATTTATGACAATCACTTATAAATGTTTGGACAATAACACAAGATAACAACTACGCAAAACAATTTCCTGACAACGTTAAATGAACTTTCACCGCCTTGAGTGGAGAATAATGGTCACATAAGTTTATGCCTTTCTAATCCAATTTATTTTCTGGTAAGCTTAAATTTTTTTTAAATTGAAGTCTGAGATAGATTTAAACCATATTGCACTGCATTCGATGGTTCAATGTATACTCACCCAACTTTGAAAGAGTCTTTGTAATAGATTCTACGCCACTGACAACTTCATTTGTGAGAGCGGACAGTTCATCGCTGCAAATTAACATCGATTTTTCCACAAAGATTAATAAAGTAGAACAGCACGCGTAGGTCAATCCGATATTAATCCAAAAATATAACCTGATCGCTCAAAATTAGCTGAGAAAGGGCTTGGGAATAACTTTTTGAAGGAAACGAAGAGAGCCTTACACCAACCTATTATCTTTGTCGCCTGCCTCCTCAAGAGCAGCACTCTCGTTGTCCGCCATCTTGAATTCCTCGTCCTCAGTCTTACATCGTCCTTTTTATCCGATAGGGTCCTGAGACTTAATCAAATGAAATTTCAAATAAATAACTGAAAGTAAACATTTTTTTTTCGGTATTTAATGAAAATCAAATGGTAAAAAGAATATAAGTTGAATTCAAATTCTGATCTCCTTCCAGCAAGAAAGTTGAAACAAAAACGAAAACGGATGCCGTAGTTCCTAAATTCTTTATCCAGAGTTCCAGTACATGAATTGTATTTACCGTCGGACGTAATCGGAATGCCGAAGATGTCAGTCGAAAATATTGCGAAGATTCCGAAGACAGGAAAAAGTTTTGTTGTGGGTCTGACGCACAAGGTGGATTACTAAGAGATAAAAATAATTCGTTCTTCTCCATTGTGGACTAGTCTGTTCTCTGAATAAAATGGGCTCCATCGTCTGTACAGCTGCAACGGTAGGCGAATTTTATTATTTATTGGTCCTATTTAGTGAAGCAGACTTCGATTTTCGATTCAAAAGATGCCAATTCCAGTTTAGGGAGAAAAACATACAGAGTACGCTTTAGTGAAAGACTTAGGGGTTGAATTTTCTTCCTTTATTTCTACAAGGATCATTATGATCTTTAGAAACCTTTCAATGGCCGAGCCTTTTATACTGTGCTAAGATCTTCCCTCGAGAACAACAAATGTGGTATAGAATATCGTTCTGTTGACCACCGCTTAGCAATTCAAAAATATGGTGATCTATCTTCGCACCTGCTTCAAGATTTGACCATTTACTGACACAAAATAATGAACCGCATCCTGGATATGGCTCTCTTTTCTTGACTCTGGCCTAAACATAATGTATCGGGCGACATGTAAATATTGTTCAACTTTGGCTGGAATAATTGCCTGTTGACATACAGTTAACATGCCCCCCCCCCGCTCTGCCACGCCCAATCTTTTCCAGAGTTTGTTTTGAGGAGAGGGTCAATCTTGCATGTACAAGTATGTTCATTTACAAAGATTTACCTTTGAATTGTTTTCACACAGTATTGATTGATTTCTTTACATTTTAATGTCAAGTGTGCATGTTGCTGCTGCCCAACAGTTGCAAGCTGTTGTTGTGCATGTTGTCCATCATGTCGCAGCTCCACTTCCACCAGGATTGTATACACACTATTTCTTCTCATTGGGACAATTTTGTCCTGTGTGATGTTATCCTCAGGAATACAAGATACCATGGTAGAGAAGGTAACTAAGTCACTTAGTAAGTCTAAAGATGATGATATAGAAGTCATGCAAATGTGAGGTTTGACAATAATTTCATTCTCAGCTCAAAAATTTTGAGTCAATTTTGATTTTTTTCCTTCCCCATTAAAAATGCTAGCCTCTATCACAGTGTGCCCATTTCTAACCATTTCACCCCAAGCAATGACCCAAAAGAAAGTTCATCTAACAATATGAATACATGTTCAAAGAGAACAGTGGTGAGAATGAAGAAAATATCAACCACGAGATATTGCTTGATTTAAAAGCACATTTGGAGGGCTGAAATTAGACAGACAGAGCAAATGATAGATATTTAATTGTTGGAAGTCAAAAGGTTAAATACAATTCATGTTCAGTAACTATACAAAAAGAATTGCAGTACGTTTATCCATCTAGCAGTTCATAAGGGTTAGAAAAAATATATTTAAAGATACTTGGTCCTAAAACTCCCACCAAATGATAATGCGGTGTATAATTTGCACACAAAATTCTGATAATGGAACTTGAACTAAAACATGGTGCTACTTACACAGGACATGGTCATAAATATCATTTACTTGCACTCTTGCAAATTTAAAAATGTCTGAGTTAGTCGCTGCTGCAGCATCTCAGAACTCTTTTTTCTCATTTCATTTGTGACATCTCTAGGTTCCATTCTTTAATGAAGCCTGCGAAGCAGCAACTTTAGGAACAAACTGTGATGTGTTGGTTGGTTACTTGGCAGTTTACAGGATTTGTTTTGGAATGGCAGCCTTCTTCTTTCTTTTCATGATTCTTAACATTGGGGTTGGCTCCAGTAAGGACTGTCGAGGTGGACTGAACAATGGGTGAGGAGATAACATTAATTATATAATTATTAAGTTAGACTTGTGAAAAAAACTGAAAAAAAACTGAAAAAAATAAAAAAAACAAAACAAAACAAACAATTTATATGTTTATTGGTGCATGTAGGAATCATGAATAATAATTATGTTATAAAATGCTAACTATGCCATTATAAATGCAAACTATGATCATTGAAAATTTCTCTTGTGCTGCTCTCAATCATGTTTGAACCTCTTGTGATATCATTTAAAGCTGGTGCATTGAGCCGGCAATGAGTGAAATTAAATGAAAGATCAGTCTGTAATTCACCTTCAGTTGAGACACTTTGTTTTCCATAATTTTTTTAGGTTCTGGGGCCTTAAGTTTATTCTTCTCATAGCTTTGTGGGTGGCTGCTTTTTTTATTCCCAGAGGAAGCTTTGGAGTCGGTGAGCAAGACCATGGTCACTTTCCTTGAATGTTAACCTTATTATAAGTTACTTTAAGTGTAGAATTGTTTTATCCAAAATTGAGAAATCCTCTCTATTTCTCTCTATCTCTTGGGTGATTCATTAAAAATAAAAAATCATTAATTTTCTTGAGGGGAGAGTTGGGACTGAGCATGGAGGGGGAGGGGGTGGGGGTGGGGTGTGGATAGGTTAAATGACGGAGTGGGCAAGGACATCTGCAAGTACCACATTTATTTACCTATAGGCCAAGCTTGGCAATAAGCAGAGACACTAAACTTAAGAGATACGATAATGGGTGAAAGCTTTCAAAAAAAAAAAATTGGAAAAGTCCTGGCTATAAGCCAAGACCTAAGTTTCACAAAAAAGTTTACTTGAGTGAGTGTCCACTCAAAAGTCATTCATGAAAGGGCTCCTCTCATGAAACATGTCAAAAGTTGTTGAAAAATATCAAACTTTTGGCTATAAGCCGAACCCCTTTGTTCGAATTTTTTTTGGCAGATTTACTCTGTTTTTTAAAAAGTTGGTCAGCTTATAGGTAAATAAATACAGTTTAACTATTATTAGAAACTTTGTAGTCATTTTCATTTTCAAAAGTACATGACTGTGGAAATACTTGATAGACAGTGTACTAAGGTTATGTCATTTCTGTGTTCTGATTTGTCACGGATTAGTATTGTCTTGCGGTCATCACCTCGTGTACTGTGACTGATTTTTAAATTTGCCAGAAATTGTTTTAATCTAATAACACTCTATATATATATATATATATATATATTTTTTTTTTTTTTTGGTTTAATTTCAGCATGGATGTATATTGGGTTCATTGGTGCCTTTGTATTTATCCTTATTCAACTGATTTTGATGATTGACTTTGCACACACATGGAATGAGATTTGGTACAGTATAATCACAGATACTGAAAGTGACTTTTACTACTCTGACATACATGTATTGCTCTAATGCTTGCTGAAAAGTTTATGTTAACATTGTCATTTTTTTTTGTTAGGACATCAAATGCTGAAGAGACTGATAACAAGTGTTGGTTTGGTGGTAAGTGTTATGGATTCTTGACTTGGTGTACAACTTTTTCTTGATAGGCTCCCTCAGGGAGCATTTCAAGAAAAGAGCTAAATGAAAACTTGGTTGTCAAAAAGCTAAATGAAAACTTGGTTGTGCTGGTTGATGGGGAATTTTACAGTTTGTCTCAATTAAATGCTGATTGGGTTTCAATTTTCAATTTGATCTTCTGTTTCTTGAACTTACCATCCAGATACTCTTGGAAGAATTTTTAGAGGCATTTGTGGTAACATCAGTATTTGAATTAATGACACAGTATTGATTAGAGATTAAAAAATTAGTCATTAAATTAGTATGCATGGGGAGATTGAAGTATGCACAAGTCATTAGAGGAATGGTGAACTTTTAGCAGAGAAGGCATGTAATAAGGAAAAACTCAGTTCCCTTTGGGGAAATGAATCCAGACAGTCACTTTTGTACATGGTAGGTTTGCCATCCTATATCTGTCGAGCTACAGAGAACTTTTCATTGAGCAAGGCCAATAAAATGAATATATATATATATATATATATATATATATATATATTTAAAAAATAGATTCCAAGTTGCCGTGCGTCTGTTCAGTAATAGATCACAGATGACATCAAAATGTGGTAAGAACAAAAAAGTGGCACACAAGGCACAACCGAGTGCATCACTGATGTTCTTACCACATTTTGATGTCCTTTGTGATCTATTACTGAGCAGATGCATGGCAACTTGGAATCTATTTGTTTTATATAATAAATAATTTAAAAAAAGTTTTTATGATGATGTCATCTATACGTCTGTCCTCCAATAGATCATAAGTGAGAACCAATCAGAATGCGTGCATAACTGAGTTTATTATATAAATAATTATATATATCAACAATTATTGTTTGTTTTAGGGCTGTTTTTCTTCATGTTCCTGTTTTATGCTTTGGCACTGACTGGGTTTATCCTCTCATTTGTCTTTTTCACGCAGGTCAGTCACAATTGTTAAAATGATTTGTCTGGGGAAAATGATTTGAATATTGATACTGTCATTCTTGTAGTTGGGTAATTTAGTGTTATCAAATGAGTTGAAAACGAAAATTGGCCACCATTAAGAGTTTAAAGGCTGACGTTTCGAGCATTAGCCCTTCGTCAGAACGATTGGTCAAAGAACCAATCACTCAGATGAAAGGCTAACAGTTTCAACAATGTTGGACGACCTGTTCAAACGCACCGAATATTTGGTTCTACAAAGTGTTGAATGCATGTTCAAGCAAATGTTGAAACTGCTTTAGCACAACGATTGTTTAGGATCCGATATGGAACACGAGCAGTGGGAACAGCTAAAATCAATTGGCTGATTGATTTAATTCAATTAATTTATGTAAACATTTAAGCGAACAATTCTGAGAATAGAATAATCCTGAGGTTTTTACAGGAAATAAACCTGGTGGAATTCACTGCCGCAAATCTTTAATTTCACCAAGTAACAAAAAAAGGAAAAAACACAACACATCAAAAAAACAAAACAAAACTAAAACTTGCAACCACAAAAAATGCGTTCAGCGTTCGAAGCAGGAGACTGAGAGGTTTGTTTCCAATTGCAAGCAGAAGAAACCTCTGTAAACAAAGATCAGGCGAAGAAAGGTTTGGATCGTAGCCTCAAAATTTGAGAACATATGCAGACGGAAATTTGATGCACATAGGATGTTATCTGGTTCTGTTTTTGTTGACTACATGTTGAAAGTAGGCAATTTAGTGTTAACAACTGAGTTGAAAACGTTAATTGGCCACCGTAAAGAGTTAAAAAGCTTTTTTACTTTTTACGGTGGCCAATTTTCACCGACGCAACACCACAGTTTCTTTAGAAACTTGCCCCTTCTATGCCTGTTGAAAGTGTTTAGTATTATGCGATGTTGGATGGTTAACACAATTCTGAATCTTTCTGTGACTTTTTGGAAGCTGAAGTGAGACCTGGAGGTCTTTTAGATTTCTTTCAGGCGACTTTTAACTTGTCTTATCATACCGTAACCCAAATTTCCTGGAAAAATAAGATTTTGATTTAAAGAGAACATACTGACTAAAATTTCAGTAACCAGTCGCCACATATCCTTTCAGAGGACTTTGTTTGTGAGACTCAGGCCGCAGGTTTGCAAGTCAGCAAATGGAAGATTTTGATTAGAAGTAAACAAACAGTTAAAGGGGTAGTATGATCTAGAAAAATTTTACCTCTATTTGAAGAAATTTTCCTCAGGAATTGGAAAATAATTGCCGTTTTGACCAGTTTGCCTTGCAATTGTGACAGTAGCGCTTTGAAGTTGTTCTTATCAACAACTTTCGATACTAGAAAAACGCCATCTTGGATATGACGTCAGCTATGACGTAGCAATAGTCAAACCTCGTTCCAAGCTTTGAGCAGATTGACCCTTCCGCCGAGTATTTCTTATAACAGTTAAACTATGGTTAACTTTCTTGTGGGTTACTGTCATAATACTCACAAAAACACAGAAGGGAAAGGAGTAAACTTCCATAAGCTACCCAAAAATGAAAATCTAAAGAAAATTTGGTCGGCAAAAGTAAAACGCGAGGACGGTTTGCCGAAACCCGAGAAATGCTACTTCTGCTCAGATCACTTTATCGAGGAAGACTTCAAGCGGAATATACAGGGTTGAAAGTTGTGCCTTTAGACCTTTGCTTTGCTTCAAACTGAAAGCTATGTTTACCTTTCACATATTCAAAATGTAGATTTTCCTTAATTTTTGTGTCTGCTGCATTTATAATGCATGCAGACACTTAGATAAGCTGTAAAACGCGCGACCAGCTACTTCATATACGACAAGATCTCGGATTTACTCTTGACGTTTCACTGCGGATTCCATTTGGTGACAGGATACATGAAGTATGCACGGAGGGGTAATACTTTCGGCCTGTAATACTTTCGGCCTGTAATACTTTCGGGTGCAAACTTCGTTCCTCAGGGGAATAATCTATCCAATCGGATACGAGGAAAGGACAAAGGAAAGAGGTCGTGGCGAACTACCGATTTCCGGGAAGACTCGGAACCAATCAAATCTGAGAAAAGGACAAAGTCAAATCCGTCAAACCATGTGCTTTCGTAAAACGTTTGGGTTGCGTCGTATCGTCCGGATTTTGTTCGTCAAGCCAGGGTGTATTATTGCTTGCAAGGTGAGTGATCTTTTCGCTTTTCATATTTGTAATGGATTTCTTAAAAGGTGTTTTCTCATTTTGCCACAGCATTCGCACTGGGTGTCATTCCGGCCGAGTGAAAGGTTTTGAAAGATGCTTTGAATTTGTAAATCGACTGAAGCTTTCTCGGCGCCAACACGATCACCGCCCGGCCATTTTGCAAGTGCTCAGGACGCAAAATAAGCTTTATGAGCCCCATTTGGGGAATGCAAAGTCCCTTCGGGGAACAATTGAGCCCCATTTGGGGAATGAAAAGCCCGTTAAGGGAATTATTAAGTCTCACCTGGGGATTACAAAGCCCAATGCGGGATATAATATGCCCTGTTTACGAAATGGATTTGGCAGAAGATACATGTATTTCACTACACACGTGAAAACATCTATCACTAGACAAACATGTGCGAAAGCTGTGGCGATTTTATACAGAGGAGAGAAACCTAGAACTAGTATTCTTCATGATAAGTACTATCTAAGCATCGCTATGAACAGATCTTTGCACACAGTTGTAAGGTATCAATGCTTTCAAAAATTGGAATCCTTCATCAAGATGAATCAAGCGCTCAATTGCTCCTTCACATTTCAACTGTCCAGCATTTGAAGATTTGCTATTTCCTTTGCACTTCCTAAGTGCAACTTGTGATTTTCTTAAGAGAATTTTCATTTGAAGCTTTTTTGTTTTGAAGAATATATTTTCAACACACATAGCAGCTCTCCTATCTGATCGTCTTAGTTCAGATTTACAAATGTCGCTATAATGAACATTAGCTAGTCTATCTTTATTTTCTGGTCGACTTTGACCAAGGAATATACCAGGATATGCTGACTCTTCAGAATGTTGATCTCTGAATATACTTAAGGGTTTGTTTCCCTCTCCTGGTGCAACATTTAAAATACGTTGAGGCAGACTGTCTTCAAAATAATGTGTGTTGGTCAACATGGTGTCAGTAACACCAGCAGGTGTTTCTGCTTCATCTTCAGTCCACTGATCATCATTATCATTACTGTCATTTCCATCTTGCTTATTGGAACCACTGCTCTTTTCTATTTCTTGTAATTGTTCACTTTGATTTTCAGTATTAGTATCATCTAATAAACAGTTTGCAGTATACTGCACTCCCCAACCTTCATTTAGTGTTATTCCTTCCTGTCTGTAGAGGCTGCTGTTGTTGATTGATTTATAATGAATAAGTAAACAAATAAAAAATTATAGTTCACCTAGGTAAGTTTTTTTTTTTTGGCATTTTGTTGTTATAGTTAAATTTGTAGTAGTTGTCGTAGTCGTCGTCGTCTTTTGATGCAGTGCTCCCTATGTTATTAGAAATTTTGAAATACATTATATTGCTATGAAACAAACTCAAAAGGTTCTTTTTCACTTGCAGGCAATGGAAGAACAAAAAGAAGAGATTGTTGGTTTCTTACACAATGTGTCTCCAACTAAAAAAAGTAGCAAGACATCTTACTTTGACATGTCCATACAAACCACCGATGGCTTAGTAAGAGGAGTCTGCTTCTCCGGAAGTAAACAGGAACACTTTGATCAAATGAGCAAAAAGAAATCTCCAATAAAACTTCGAAATTTTAGAATTGAAAGAGCAGGAGATGCAACCACAGTACTGATGAATAACAATGTACTGTTAGAGCCTACAAAAGAAATACCTTTTTCAAGAATTGAGTTGCCAAGTGCCAACAACATCCAATCAATTTCAGCTGCAAACACAAATCAAAGTATCACCATCAAAGCCAAACTTATTCAGATGTCATCAACAAAAAAAGTGAAGACAGAGGATGGTGAAAAAAAAAAGTTGTTTGCCTATCTTGTGGACCCACATGGAGCCATTAAGGTGACACTTTGGGAACAATTCTGTGGATCTCATTAATCCTGCTGAGCTACCTCAGAACTTTACCAATACAACAGCAGCAGCAGAAATACCTGGAGTGCGAAGTGTCACTGCATATCAAGCCTGCTGCAACTGTAACAAAAAGCTGGTAATAGAGACGTCTCCCATACTAACCTGTTCAACTTGTGGGCTCAAGCATAATATGAAGTCCACCATTCAACAATGTTATGGACAACTACTGGTACAAATTAAAGAATCAAAGATCACAGTGACCCTGTTCAACGACATTCTGCATGATATGCTAGCGTCACAAGGAAAGAGCACTCTTCCGATCACTGAAGAAACCATAACTGCCTTTCTTCTAGAGTTACCAACTATAACCAGCATAACATTCCACAACAAACAAAAATAGTGGAGTCAGTGCAAATTTGAATAAAATGAACAATTTCCTGTCACACATCAGTGGAAATTACTACTGAATACCAAACGTTAATAATACCTGTTTTTAAGCAAATGAAGATCATCGCAATATCTGCAATGAAAAAATGAACAATTTCCGGTGTGCACATCATCAGCGCTGCACCGGTATCGCAGAGGTCATGGGTTCGACGTTCACTGAATTTTTTTCAGGCTCTCAACTGCTTAAGTTGAGTATATACTGCGATGATCTTCATTTGCTTAAAATGTATTTTCCGCAGTACAAATATATGACTTTCATGTATTCTTATCACAATACCTGTTTTGTTACAGTTTGCAACAAACATTTTGTAGACACTGGTTTTAAGTGAAATGATTGTTTCTCTGACTGATAAACATTATTTACAAGTACACGTGCTGCTTTTTTTGGGATAATATTTCTGTTGCGTTACATTTCTGATACATTTCATTTCAATTAAAAGACAAACACTTCAAAATACTTTTAAAAGTATATTCACCTATTAGTTACTTGAACACAACAATGTAAATATACTAACTTTGTTTTACCTATGTTTTGTTCCAAATTGATTGCATATTACCATTAAATGAAAAACATAATGATTTCCAAGGAATTATTACAACCAGAGACTTTTTCTTGCTTTGCAAAACTGCTACTGCGTTTGCATCACAGTTGTCTTGTGTTACAAAGACTTCAGATACTATTCAATTTTGTTAAAAACTATTGGCTGTTGTATTTCAATTCTTTGATTTAAATATTCTGCTACAAAATAAAACAAACGTTCACTTTAATGTTAGATTCTTTGCAGTACCATAACACAATAAAAGTTATTTAAACAGTGATGAAGATGTAATCACAATCATGATATTGATGATTGATATTGATGATCCCTTACCTCCAACTGGAGCATTGGACATTCACCACTTCAGTTCCCCATCTTTGTGATGCCTTGAGCATTCCATAGCACTGCCTTTCGGGAGATGTTTCTAGCCAGTTTAACAGTATTAAAAAAAATTGGCACCTACAGCAGATTCCATTCCACTGCAGCAGACACAAGTACCCATTGGGTACCTATTTTTTAAAAGAACCACTGTAATGGAAGCGAAATCATTGGTGATTGACCGCGTGTGGTAAATTCAGTCGCGACCAAAGGCGACATTCGCCTTTTTTTCCCGAAAATGTTTCCCAAACATTTTTCCAAAGCAATATTTATAATTATTTTAAAGGCAATTGAATATTTATTAATTTTAGAATCACCGTAAAAATGTCTCCTCGTCACTCTGTGTAAATAAGATAATAAGGAAAACCATTAGTGTGTTCAGTGGTTGGTTTTTTCTTTCTTGTCGAAGGTACAGTATACCCGTTCCACGCCCACCAAAGGAGGGCCTGCTCGCACGGCATGTATCCAGATTTGGAAAAAAAATTAAGCAAGTGAGAAAAATAAAAATACAAAAATTAAATAATCCGCCTACAATGCCACTAGCATTCACATCGTTAGTTTTAAGTTTTAGGAACAGACAGTTCAAGGTATTTTAATGATTGGAACTGGAGTCGATACCCTTATAGCGGCGTAGAAAAACCTCCTTTAATGTTTAGGAAATACAAAGACAGTTTTTTTTTTAATTAAACGTGACTATCCCGGCCATGAGTCATTCTCCTCAGCGTCTTTAAAGCCTGTATAATTTCCGGCTGCATTTGGGTAATTACTTCTCATTGATGCCCCAACACGCCAAGGAGTCACGCGTTTGTTCCCGTTACCAAGATTGTTATAAGTCCACCAAGTGGACTGTCTATAACCCGCCAATCGCATACTCATATGAAAAAAACAAAATACTCTTATACATGGTCAGAACGGAACCAAGACAAATGCATTTGAAATAAACAAATTCTACTTCGTCAAGCAGGCGCCTATTTGTAATGAGATCGATATCCTAAGCTAACACTTCGACAACGGGAGACTTCCTGACGCGCGTCGTATAACGTGTAGTTCTGTGTACACGTAACAAATTTGGAACAGTAGACCTCCTTTTTTTAATTTTCCCAGAGTAGGGAATGTAATAATTCTCTTTAGTACTCTTTCTTTCAATTTTGTCTCGTTCACGTTCATACTTACTCATGATTTACCTCCATTAGGAAAACAAAGCATACAAACTAAAGAAGTCTATATACAATTGATATTGCGGTGAAGTTCACCCCTACGAAAAAAGATTACAACATCGCTTGGGATAAAAGGGCTGACAACAAACTGCATTTGTTTCTTACGGTTCGCATCAGACTAACTTGCAGACAACTTAAGCGTTTTGTTTGCATGAATTTTGTGAAAATGTTTAGATTCTGTCAATGCTTACTCATTTAACGGATAATCTTCAAGTCAATCATTTCTCACTTGGTGCATGCTAATAAGGGCTGTTCTTAAGACGCCGGCCAGTAAACACACGGGTCTAAATGATCCGTGCTTAGTAATACACTGAAGCTTGTTCCCTTCAATTTCAATAATAGTTCATGACAGTCAGTTAGCAGTGTGAAATAAATAAAAATTTAAAAAACTATCACTTTAGAAACAAAGATGTAATTTGAGAAGAATTAACTACCTTCCAGAGCGAGTCAATCACCTAGTACATTAATTTCTTGACTGCAATTTAGTTTTCTGTTGGCATCTCTTGACAGTTGCCGCGAGCTAAGAGCACCACTCACGATTTCCAAGACGTGAGTGCGTAGATGTTTCTCCTTGTATATCTCTGAGTTTCTTCGTCAACAAAAATTTCTCCTTCTCCTGAAGACGAGCTATGTTGCGGCTCAAACATGAATGGACGAATTACACCGTCTGGATTAAGATCCAAGTCGAGAATTGAATTATCGCTCTCCTTGCCGCTGTTTTCTATGTTTTCATCCATCTTAGTTGAGATTACGATGCTTGACCATTGTACGTCATAGTACGTCACGATGAAGATGGCGGATTTCAATTCCAAAATGTCAATTTTTAAAACGCGATTTCTGGCAACAAAAACACTTTCAGCTTAAATGAATAGCCAATTATGACAAAACAAGTCAGGACCTTTTGATTTAAGCAAACTTCTTCTAGGTCGTACTTCTCCTTAAAGTCTTTTACTACTAAGGGAATATAAAATATAATTAGCTTGCTCTCGTATTTCATTTCGTGAGATGGTTGATTATACAAGGGACCAGGGAGGGTAAGATTTCAGGGGTAGATGGAGGTTTTGTTCGATTCTCGTATTTCATGTACGTCACATGTTGTCGACTTGCCTTATCTTAGACATTTATACTTTGTTTTAGGTGGTTTTAGATTGTGTGCGAGTGGCTGTAGATGTTTTTAAGGTGGTTGTTGAAACTTTTGAGGTGGTTTTAGGTCATTCCATATTTTAGTGCGTACAGACTTATATAAATTGATCATTTACCAAAGTTTGCCACAGAAAACTCTGTTTGGAGCAATTTATGGAACTAATTGGCTAACAAGATCAAAATTGTCTTTCATATTATCCTCTGGCAGGTGCTTTACCGAAGTAGCCACCTACTTCAAATCTTATTGAAAGCACTGAAATTGGCCACCACAAAGAGTTCAAAGGCTGATGTTTGGAGCATTAGCCCCTTGTCAAGGGGTTGGTCAAAGGACCAATCACTCCGACAAAAGGCTTACACTCAAAACATCAGCCTTTACACTCTTATACGGTGGCCTATTTACATTTTCAACTCAGTTGACAACACTAAATTACCCTGTTATATTCTCCCACCAACACAGCACCACAGTTTCTTTAGAAACTTACCCTCTTTATCTTCGTAGTAGACTGAATCTCACTGTTAACATTTTTTAAAATTTAATTGTATTTTTTTTTTAGTCAAGTGGTTGTCATCTGAACAAGTTCTTCATCAGCTTCAACTTCATAATGTGTTTTGTCATCTCAGCTATTTCAATTCTGCCCAAGATCCAAGAAGGTGCATACATAGTAGCATTACTTGACATAAATTTAATTAAATTGATTTATCAGTGTCTTTGCAATTGTCAACCAAATTGATTGATTTTTACAAGTCATCTATTTATTTCTTGTAAGTTACCAAATCAATTTTGAAAATTCCAAACTCTTACCTGTTACTAAACTCACTTTTATTAACTGACTTTAGACAGTTATTATTAGCTTTAAACTCTTGTAAGCCCCTCATTAGTGGCAAATGGTGGGAGAAGTTTGACCCTTTAGGTAGATGTGATTGTTCAGTTGAGGTTGAAACTCATAAACAGCTAAATTTGAATTTATTTCTTATTCAAAGTATGAAAGAGGAATAGTCAGATCTTCTCTGTGCCTAAACTTAGCTAGCTCCAAATTTAAAGCAATTTATCAGTGGTTGATTTAATTTGAGCAAGTGATTGTTTTGAACAATTTTATGCTGGTCAGTGAGCTTCATTTCTCCCACAGTACAACCCAAGTCTGGTCTCCTTCAGGCCTCCATCATCTCTCTGTATGCCAGCTACCTGACCCTATCGGCTCTCTCCAATGAACCAACAGAAAAAGGTATTTTTGCTGCATTTGCCATTGGCAACTGAGAGGTTTGCTGGGATCTGGCAGGAATAATGAGGGCTAGATTTTAAGATAATGTGTTGTTCCTTTTTTCCTTGTTAGTACAATCTCAGGGAGGAAACAGCACCAGTGAAGAAATTTGTGGGAGCTCAATTGGGACAATTGAAAACTCAGAGACACTGGCTTTAGTTGTTGGGCTTGTTATAATGTTTGTGCTTGTCATTTACTCAAGGTCAGTTTCAGCCGCTTCAGTAGTAATATATTGTTGAGTGTCAGGCAAATTCTTATTGCAATAATGTTTTTTTAAAACATCCTCAAAATATTAAATCTTAAATTATGCCATCTTGTTGTAGTCTGAGAACAGTAGGAAGTGCAGATAAACTGGCACCATCAGCAGGGGCTAGTTCTAAAAATGGTATGTAAAGTCCATTTTTATACAGTAGGTGTAGTGGTGCACAAGATATTTGAAAGCTTATTGGCTTACTCAGGCAAGTTATTGGCAGAAAATGCTTTTTTTCGCTATCTTTCCTGGACAGCCTGATGTTTGAAAAATAAGAAGGTTTAGAAATAATATGCTCTCTCAACTTTTTTGTGACTGTTCCAGTTTGCTACAAGTGGCACATTATGGCTACTAGATCGCAGTTTACTAGCAGATAATTAACAATTTACTGGCTGGGTGAAGGTATTGTCATTTGTTGGTAGCAAGCAGAAAAGTTGGCATGCAATAAGAGCTTTGAAGATCAGTAATTAACCTTCTAGATGCTGGCACTCATAAGTTCAAAAGTTTTATCTGGTCATGAATAACTATTTCTACAAAGTTCTCAGGAGGTTTGTGTATCTCAAATTCTTAATTACAGCTGATGAGGAGAAAGGAGGGCAGGAAATAATAAGCGATGAAGAGGAAGAAGTGGCTTACAGTTACTCCTTTTTTCACTTCATTTACTTCCTGGCCTCGCTGTATATTATGATGATGCTCACAAATTGGTACAGGTGAGCTCTTTTTGTTGGGATATTGTGCAGTTCTCAAGCAGAAAAATAATTTGGGTTGTAAGATGGTTTCTTGAAAAAAAGAAATTATTCAGTGTAGCTTTTCAAGGGATGCAACCAGATGAATAAAGATTAAATGAAATACTATTGCTAACTGATCATATGGAACCTTGTAAGAGTGCTTGTTCAGCTTATAACATATCTTTGAGAATTTCTGGCATAGTGGTCAAGATAAATTGTTATTTGTCATCCTCCTACATCTAATCAACGTATTGCACTGGTATGTTGAAATAAATTGTTTCTTCTCCCAATAGTCCCCAGGGCAGCGATCTAGAGGATTTCCAGAGGACTTCTGGATCAGTATGGGTCAAGATGATATCTTGTTGGCTTGGTTTTGCATTGTACCTGTGGACACTTTTAGCTCCTGCCTGCTTTCCAGACAGAGACTTCAGTCGTACTCTTGCTGCATAACAGAGCAATGATACAGCGTTCTAAACTTAGTGGTTATTTTAAAGTATATATCATTGGTGTATTAAAAGTTAATAACATGATTTTGAGTAAATTTTTCAAAGACAACAAAACTGCACAGGCCCGTAGGGCGAGTGCAATTTGTAGTCTTTGAAAAATTTACAAGTGCGTATTACACCAACTTGCAAGAGAACTCATGTTATTACTTGTTAATAATGTTCGTGAAAAAACATCACAGAAAGTCAAGACAGACGAAATGCTTTAACTGAGCATGTGCTATTTGTAATTTGCGCCCGTGTTACAACTTTGCACTCGTGTTGCATTAAAAGGCATTTGTTTTCAACCTGTCAGAAGCGGGTAATTTTTTCATGTACATTATTACTGACGAAAGTTTTGTATAACTGCATTTGTTTTGCTGGGGTTTACTCTCTAATTAGTTTAAAGAAAACTCATGCCACCTTCTCACCCAATCAGATGCAAGACTAAAAGCTAGGGCCTCTAGGTCACTCGTGCTTTGCGTTTTCATTGGCTCCCTCGGATATAACCCCTTGCTCCGATTGGCCTTCGAGATATTCGCGGTAGCATTGACCGGTTTAGTTGAAAGTTGCTCCAAGCAATAAAATGAGGTTTAGATTTTGGTGCAAGGAGTAACGCGAACCAAACTGTTCAGTCAGAGTTATTATTAGTATTTTTTTTTCACAGAAGCTTGAGGTTATAAGCTAATGGCACTTCGTGGACTGCTAGATCATATTTATTATATGTACGATATATAACTGTCGCGAAAATGCGTCTGAGAAAGTTAACTGATGGGAAGCAGTTTTATATTTGTGTAGTTAAACTGGAAAATAATCTTACTTGTAATGCAATTGTAATTTTTAAAAATAAATTCAGTAGAACTGAGTCATACTTAGCGAATGATTGCTTTTATATCGAGCGGTGGTTACACCTTTTAAGATATTCCTTGCGCGCCAAATAAACAGCCAGATGAAGACAATTTTAATCGGACAAATTTTCGCGTCTCGGTGAAATTAGGAAAAGAAAGGTCGTGTCACATCATATATATATATTTTTTGCGCTTCTTCCCTTGGGGCGTTACTCACGATTCGCACTCGCCTGTTCGCCGGCAAGAAGCAGAAAATTACGCCACTTCTGTTTTGCTAAGCTACAAAAACGAGCAGCGGAGCAACGAGTGACTTTCTCCCGCTTCCCAAGTCTCGAAAAGCGAAAAGCTTCAAAAAGCATGCAAACTCGCCTTCCATGCAAGCATCTAGTTAATTTTAAGCATCGTTCTTTCTTGACTTTACCGTTCCCTTTAGGTACCTGTCTTCAACGAGAAGCTTTCATACAACGTCGACTCATTAACGCACAGATCAAGTTCTTGTTTGCAACTAATCAAGGATCAGAGTGAACCAGGGAACTCAGATATTAGTTAAGATTGAATGCTTTGTGTTGCTGTGTCTCAGCTATGAAAAAGATCCTAACCCTTTACACCCTTACGGCAGTACCCATATTCTCCATACTTTTCTCTGTAGATTTCCTTTGGTTCTGACAAGGAGAATTGACTTCACAATCAAAGCATCTTAGGTTGGCAATCATATCCTTTATTCTCACGATCTTAATGAATAACACCGTACGATTGTAAGGAGAAATTAGAGGCTGGTCAATCTCAGGGTTTAAAGGATTATTAATGTTAATCATAATCCACACCCTCCCACTGTCATGTACTTAAATCCTCACTTTGTACTTCCTCACCAATAAGAATGACAAACAAAACTGATTAAATGTCAATTTATTGGTATACTACTGATCAATTATACCAAGGTGCAATAGTGACAAAAAAGACAATGGAGCATCACTCAACCAAGATATAACAATAGACAAAAGAAAATTAACTATAGAATTGAATTTAAGTAGTTATCCCCCCTGGATTAGAAAATTTATGTTTAGCTAAAAAGACCCCAGTTGGTATTTCATTTAAAAAAGTAGTATTTTTTATGACAACGTTTTAATTGGTTGTACATTTATAGTTTCAGGTAAACAATATTCACATTTTCCTTGATACTATGAATTATTGTGCCTTTGTTACAAGGTGCACTAACATATTTTATATACCTCCTGTTTATCATCACACTGGAGATTTAGAAGTCTGCATAGAAAAGGAAATTTTCCATGTTATAAAATACATTGCTCATGAACACAAATTTGTACATGCAAGTCAACTTCACATCACACAGATGTGGTGTTAAACACCTGAAAATTACCTCAAAATTTACAGTTCACATCTAACACAAAGTATGGAATACAAAGAAGTAACTAAAAAAACATAACAAGAAAAACATCAGACTTTTGCCACAGAGAATCCTAAAATATAATTGACACTACCGAATAAATTTTCTACTAGAAAAAGCTATGAAGAGAGATTGCATGATACTAAGCTAAGCAATGTGAAGAAATTATTTCAGAAGAGCAATGCCAAAGAGATTCCCTTGATGTGAATTGAAAGAACCTAGTCAGTATTCCTTAGCAGTGTTCTATCAATCTGTATATTGTTCAGCATGATTTCATTCCTTCCTTTACAGCACCATCATCTAAGAATCTTTTTTGCCATCAGTAGCAGCTCTTATGGCTGCCTCAGTAGCTGCATCTTTAGCTGAAAAGAGAAACAAAAACACAATGAGATCTTTAAAAAAGGTCACATAAAAAAAAAGAAAAAGAGAACCTCCCTGGTCTTCAAAATGCCTCATTTGTTAACAGAAATGTGGTAAATAGAAGTATTAGCAAAATATAAAAGTTTTTTGAAAATGTACCATAAAATTATTGCTGTGAGAAATACGAATTATTGTTAGTTGCTAAATGGGAGAACCAGGAGCTCTAGATCTTCAAAAGAAGAAACTTCAGAAAACACTGTTATGAGACAGAATACTCAAGTATGTGGCTAGAGGCCCCAGTGATGAAGGATTTCGACCTATTTTGCAGAGTTATGTTGCAAGTACAGATAATTGTTCAATATGTAGCCACAGGACAGTTTGAAGTCTGCAGTCATGGTTGTAATTCAGCAAACTTAAAAATTGCCTGCAATTTTTTTAATCATCATGTAATGGTTAAGAGCATGTAACACTACCAAATGCTATTCCAACTGCACTTGATTAATCTAATTATGAAATCATTCAAAACATTGGGAAGGATATCTGTAAGTGTTCAAATTACAAAAACAATTTGAAGTTACAACTTTGTATTGCCTATTACGCCATAAATGAAACCTACTTGTAGTTAAGCACACATCTTATGGTCACTCCAAAAGCATTAATGTGCCATTATCACTTGTAAATTTCTTTCCATGAATTTCATGCAGCAAGATTCAAGTACCACAGAATTTGTGTTGAATCACATAATAGCATGCATCAGAATGGCCCTAAATGGTACCCAGAAAACCTTCAGTTCCTTGTTTAACCAACCGTCCACTTTTTTTTTTTTACTCAATTACAAAGCCACTGGGTCAGAACAAAGTAATGGCTTTGTCAATTGAAGCTATCAACTGAAACAAACTCCAGGCCTTCTATTTTCTTTCCCTCTAGGATGTCATTTTTTACTTATTTATTTTTTAAAACAAAGTTTATATTTATAAAATGGCTCACTAACATAAAAACAGAAATGCTTACAGGCTTCTTTTGTCCTCATTATTTTAAAGCAACAACCCCCCTAAAGTTTCTTAGACATCTGATGATAAAAAGTACCAACATGACACTTTAGCGACATGTCATCAATTGACTCAAAAAATTCCAGAATTGGTACACAGCTGACTAATAGGTAGAAAATGCTCAACCACAAAAACACTCAGCTGGAATTTAAAAGGCCTGAGAGGCTGCTGGTGATGCTGTTAATGTTTTTGAATACAAAAAAATTCACAACTACATGATAGGTCCACAAACATCTGCTTACAGTGATGCTTTTTAAATATTAATGGATAACAAACCCGTCGACGAAGCCATATATAGTAAACACAATAACCGATTTTCCATGGAATTTCCTTTGAGAGCGGCGAAACCAATTAATTCATACTTTGCCCATAAAATCTAACATTCTTTTATTATTGAGAAATAAACATTATAAACATTATATGCACGTGTGAAGTTCAAATACATTGTACGATTACTCGATGTTAACAAACCGAAGAGCACTCTGCTGATTAAATAAAAAATCAGACGCCTTCCTTTACAACTGCAGATTGAAAGCTCTTAGCTGTTAACTTAGTTTGACGATAGCTCACCTTCTTGGGCGACTTTGTCGACTTGTTCTCCAACTTTATTCAAAGCTTTGTCAATTTGAGTCTGGTGCTTCAACACAAAGGGTCTGATAACCTTGTGGTAAATGGTGTTACATCCATTCCAAGACACAGGCGCCATACACCAGCACAGGAAAATCAGCTTTAAAAAAATAGTAACGTCACATTGAAATACCCACGCTAACCATTGATACGATACTTCGGTGACAGACTAAATGTTCGTGATGTCAACGAAGAGGCAAAACAAATGAAAATTCCATTCTGCAGTTTGGAGATTAGATCTGCTCACATAAAACGTTTCTTCTAATTTTGGCATCTGCAAAAAATTCTACGCTTCAAAGAAGTCCGAAGTCCACAAATTTAATTTTACCGGTAAATGCAAGTGAAGAGGTTGGCGATAATGGACGTTACGTAAAGAAATATAAAACCTCCACAATACACCTGATTGTCATCTTAAATAAAACCATGGCGTTTAGAAACCTGACAGTTAAATACCTTCACAAGGAAATAGAGTGGGAACCACGACAGCAAAATGTCCGAAAAGAACTCCACGATGTTGAAAACTCCGAACACCACCCAATAAATAAGCCATTGTGTGTCGTCCTCTTTGTCTGCACTTTCCACAGCTTTAACCCTAAAAAAAGACACAGCGGAGTAAAACAGATTTGTCTTGGAATGAAATATCGAACAACAACGAGGACTCAGGCGCTAGTAAACGCTGAGAGAATGTGACAACCAGGTGTTCTACTCTTTCGTTTTAAACAAGCTTAACCCACATGCAAATGGCGACTCGAAAGCAAACAACTGAACAGGTAAACAGCTAATACGTGGTTTTCACAAAAAAGGCATTTAAGACTTACGATTGATAGGCTGGATAGGCAAAACCCAGGCAGGTCACAATCAAATCTGCTCCATAGCCAAACACAAGATAAAGGGCGAATATACCAACAAGACCTATAAGTGCAAGAACAGCATGGTCAGAGGCGAAGGGACGGGGACTCGTCCAAAATGCGTTAGAGTATCTACAAATTACCGAGAAATAAATAAAGCCTTTTCACTCCAGTCTTCTTCTCGATTTTATCTAAGACATCGGTAAAGAAATTCTTCTCGTGAAGCCAATTATCGAGCTTTTCTTTGCCCGTATTTATACTCTCCGTAGCCGACATTTTTGCAAATTACAACGGAATTACTTATTCCAAGGCGGGTTTGCGATAAACCATGTATTCCTCCAAGGGACTGGTCACATGACTTGTTCAACCAATCGGCGTTGTGTTCAATACATGACTTAATCAGTCACGTTCTGTTCACGTTCAGGCAAATGGTTGTTTATTTTCAGGGCACCATTTCAATATCAAGAAAAAGAGTGTAGTTTAAAATCGCGCACTGTCTTCCTTCCAGAACTTACGATAGAGGATGATTACTAATAAGTATCTAAAAATCGTTCTCTTACTTGCACAAATGTTCCCCGAAACGCGAATGTTGTGTTACACCCATCCTCACCTCACGTATTGACATAATTTCTTGGCTTTTCCCCATCCTAGCAACTGATCAATGATTATTCAGATGTGCAGGCAAAGCTATACTAATACGTTTTGTTTGTATTATTTTGATACAAAATAAGAATTTAAGTGAGGTGATATGTCCGACCACCGCTATTAAAAACTCAGAAGAAAAATATATTGTGAGCCTGTTTTTGGCAGCAATCCAGCTCAAGTACCAGAGCGAAACTGGGCAAATTTCGAATACGTCCTTAACTTATTTAAAGGATCTTTATACTCAATGACGTGTGTACTTAGAAGTTATGACGTCCGCAGCGATAATTTCAAGACGAAAACTTTTGCCTCAAAACTTGGAGGAATTTTCGCCACGCTAGAGTCACGAACTAGCCGACCGTGGCAGGAAATGGACAGTCATTGCTACTCAGTTACTAGTAATTAACAATTTCAATAGCTAACCAGCGGGTATGGGATTTTTCTTCGCCAATTCCTTTCCCTTCTCCATGTATGCTTTTAGCGAGTCCGCTTCTTGTGTTGTATCATTTGAAACTTGTGCGTTCGTTGTAGCATCTTCCATACTTTCATGTACAAGTATCGCTGGCTAAATACCGGTGTGCGGAGATCAGGAATTTCGTTTGCGACGATCGTTAGATCTGCCGTGACTTTCAGCCAATCATGACACCCGCGGACATGCGCATGCGGCGTACGTACTTACCTTACTTCTGCAACAGGTTTATTCAATACAGAATCTGTTTCAAGTTAGATTCTGACAAAAGCTTCTTATTTTTCTTTTTCTGGGGAAATGATCGAACCTCTCAGGTGCACAGCTAATTTATCCGGCTGGCCTGGGCTGACCTAGGATACGACAATATTTAAATAAAAGATACCTTCCTCACTTTCCCGTAAATTTTCTTTCAGTTTCAGTAGTACCTATGTAAGAATGGACAATCAATCATTGAAACTATTAAGATTTTTTGTCTTTTATAATTCAGACTAGCCTCCTGGACTAGTTTTCATTTTTTTTTCTTCCTAGTGCATGGTTCGTACCCAAGAAGAGTTTGCTATCATAAAAGACTGGGAACTAATCAGGATAAAATCCAAAATGGTGTTCGACAGGCTGAGAGGAATCGAACGAGAAAATCTCCCTCTTTCGCGGCAACAAACCGTTGACGACCAGGAATCTCTAGCACAACAAAATATTTTATCATCTGTTAATGGAAAGACACCAAAAGAGCATCAGATAGGTGAGTTACCAAGCTGTTAACATGAAAACTTAGCCGATATGCTAAACTGTCAACGGCCTTACGTTTGTGACTTTCAGGAACTAAGAAATATATGTTATGTAACTACTTACAATTTACCGATACCGTTGTGGTTATTGCTATAATTAATCTAAAATGAGTAGAAAATGGTTTTAATAGCGTAGCAGAGACTCTGTACATCATCGTTAGATATATGCACGATGGAGCATAAGAAATAAACTTGTTTGAATTAGTAACAAAATAATCGTTATTGGGTTTAGAACAATTTGTCTCTTTTGGAGTGCTCTAGATTGTTGAGAATTCTGCTCTGCCTGTTTTATTTTCCTGTTTGATGTGTGGTGCTCACTACTCACGATTACAATAGCTGTTTTTGTTTTATTTTTATTATTTCTTGTCATGGAACTTAAACTGCCCTTCTTACATGCTGAGCTTAATTTGCCAATTGATTGAAAGAGGATGGGGGGTGGGGGGGGGGGAGTGGAAGCATGGCTTGGGAGAATAAGATACAATTTTATGGGTGTGAGAGGTAGGGTGATTTATACTTAGAATAGGGGTAAGGAACAGTGTTCTCCACAAACCCTTCATCGATATAATGCCAAGTAGTGGCATGCCTAAGGTGCAAGAGGCATTAAGGAGGGGGTAGACAGGAGGAGGTGTTAACAGTTTGAAGGTAAATGATTCAAGCTTAACACTTGAAGTTTAAGGTAAAAGTTGGTAAATTGTCTACTTTCATCGGTTAGTTGACACCAGTAGCAGTTCTTGAATATTTGCTTTTTCCTTTGTATGATTTGTGGTGTAGTTGCTCATTTGTAACACAATCAACAAATTTATATGGTTAATGTATTTCTATTTTTTCATCTTTGCAGAAAGCACACAAAGACTTGTTGGTTTTGCAATTGGTACTGGGAGGTAGGATGGAAGAATCCCTCTGAGAATTTTCTTAACTGGTGCTCGGGGGAGCAGGGTTGGCGTAGTGGTGAGAGCGCTCGCCTTCCACCAATGTGTCCCGGGTTCGATTCCCGGACCTGGCGTCATAAGTGGACTGAGTTTGTTGGTTCTCTACTCTGCTCCGAGAGGTTTTTCTCCGGGTACTCCGGTTTTCCCCTCTCCTCAAAAACCATCATCATTTGAATTTATTTAATATAGTGTTTATTTGAATTTATACACGACCCCACAAGCTGTTCAGCTTTAAACATTATCGTGTCTAAATAAAAGGAATTTATTTTTATTTATTTAACTGGTTACTATTTGTGATCTGTCTCCTTATGAGTGTATTGTTTCTCTTAGTATTCTTGCTGCACAGTTTCTGACACATCCATTTACAGTCTTCAGGAGACAGTGTCAGGTATCTTGTGCTTGCATTAATTGTTCTATGAATAAATTCAATAATGGTGACTGTATAATGATAAGTAAAATGTGGTCAACTGTGGGTTGAAAATGAGATCCTCAAGCATGATGACAAACGTTACAAGAGGTTTGTTTGTCCCAACATGAAGTTGGCTTTTAGAAAATGGTATCCTTATTGGAAAGCTTGCTTGTTAGAATTTGCACAGGGAAACTTTGAAATTGTGTTTTTTGTTATAAAAATTACTTGAATGCAAGGATTAGCGCCTCTGTCTCTGTCTCGGTGGCATATCATTATGATATCATACTTTACATTTAGTCAGTATCTGTTTTAATTCGTTTTAGCAACAAATTAGTAGATCTGTTGAACAAGGACAACCAGATGAGATATTAAGCCAGTCTGACTAAGAACAGAACATCAAATGAATCTATTTTTGATGGTGCCGCAAATTGAGAACTGCCTATTCTGTATTGTTTTATTGAGTTTTTCTTCACCAGGTAAATCATGGTGCCAGAAAATACCACTTAGCACCCTTCACTGTGTTCCAAATCTTGCTTCGTGTGAGAAGAAGTCAGGTGAGATTATTAATTTTATAATGTGAACATAGAATTGGAAAAATCTACTCTGAGGCTGTGGTTATAGATGCTTGATAAAGACCAAACCCCTGTATTTAAATTGAAATGATCATGATTGTGATTGATGCTGTCATTTTAGGGTTATGGTGCTTTGTGGAAGGGTTGTGGTAGTACCTATGTTGTGTGTGCTGTCAATTTCTTTGGTGAAGCAGCAGTGAGCAGCCTTACTCATCTACCTTAGTAAGTCACAAGTAGAACTGTGTAATTAGACAGAGTAATTTTCAATTGAGTGTTGAAAATTGATTGCTTTGGTTTTGCTTTACTTGACTTTGGTCCTTTGGTTACTTGAGAGTTGTGCCACATTGTCAATCAGTCAAATCCAAAACTGAAACCAGTCACAACATAGCTGCTGGATTTTTGCTTTGTTTCAGGGTGATCAGATATTTTTTAAATGAATTGCGAAAATTGGAATACGGTCAAACATGTACAAGGAGTTCATGAAAGAGTCTGTAAAAAGCATTGTTTGTCTTATTAAGCATCATTTGGTAAGCCATTCTTAACTGAATTTTCACATCAATCTTTTTAGTGAAAAACCAGAGAGAACTAGTTCATACAAAGATGTTGGAGGCCATCTTCTTTTGAAAGGGTATGAATGAGATTAAGTGACTTCTAAAATAGTTTTATGAAATGTGTGCTCTGTTTTACAATGGACTGATGAAGATGAAAAGTAAAATTATACACCATAAATGATGAGATTAAAAGGAATGATTTAGGGAAGTCCAGTTAATTATCACTTCAAACACAGCAATGAAACAGTCTCAGTATTATACCATTGTCTCTTGGTCATTTCTTGCCTTGCAGCTTTGCAAATTTTTGGCCATTTTTTATTGTTGATTTCTGCACAATGCATTAACATTCTCTTTGCTTTCATTGGAGTTCTATTTATACCAAATGTACCTTGGTGTCATTTTTTTCTTGATGTTTTGTAACATTATTGAATGATTTTACAGATTAAGTTTGGCTCTTAGCATGCCAGTGGCAGCAGCAAGCTTAACAGAAACAGTCAAGGTAAATATATTATCACATCCTTTTTTTTTTTTGGTCCTTCATGTCACTAGAGGTTTTGCTAGCCTTCTTCCATGTAAATGTCAGTCTCAAAAATTAAGTGAGCCAGTAGGGATGGACAGATATATTCATTCATTTGTGTTTTAAGTTTGCTTTTCACATCTATCAGTGATATTGAACAAAAGAACTGCTGACATCTACAACAGATTTTATGTTAAATGTTGTCTTATTTATTGATCGTCACTTGATCAGCAAGTGGGCTAGGGAAAGGGGAAGAATCTCCAACTTTCTGTACCCTGATCACCTCTCTCCATCTTTTAGTTCAAAATCTTTCAGATTACAGGTTATCATAAGTTCCTACATACCACAATCTCCACTCCCATATCCCATACCTCTCCACTCATCAACTCTCCTTTGCAACTTTCCTGTCCCCTGCCATGGGTCAGCCATGATCAGCCAGTTTTTAATATGTTGGTGATTGGTCATGGTCACATTTTTGCACTCCTCCCTTGCTTTCCACCTGTTAAAATGTCCAACTCTTAAGCCTTGTCTCTCTGTTCTCTTGCATGGCATCAGTCTTCTACTTTCAAGTGTTACAGTGTACCCCTGTATCCATGTACTGATCAGCTGTAACCAGCCAAGTTTAGGGGGCTGGTGCTTTTGTGTGTCAGTTAGGGATGTTTATTTAGCTCTCTTAGTGTAGCAGTGTACTTTGATATTTGAAAGTGAGGTATGTGATCTGAATATATTTCTTGCTTTTCTTTCAGAGTGACCTCACCCGTTACCAAGACAATATGTTTGACAGTTTAAAAGACTGGATGTACCGCATTGTAGGCTGGGATAGATCATCAGGTCGTCATGGTCGCCTCCTCCCCATGTGGACCCTGGTGCTTCCCACAGTTCTTCACGGCCTGCTTACCTATGTCTTGGGTACATTGATTCAACACTTGGTATTGATAAAACTGAAGGGCAGGGGCATCCACAAGTCACCCGACACAGACCCTACATCATCAGATGAGGAACTGCCAGGCCCTACTGATATGACTCATACTTATTACCCAGAACTTGTGGCCAATTTTTTAGCATTTTTTATCCCTGAGTTTTTGTTGTATCCTTTGGAGACGGTTCTTAACCAACTGTATGTCCAAGGCACTCGGACCATCATTGACAATCTTGATACTGGTACTGGTGTGGTGCCACTATGTACAAACTATGATGGTATGTTGGACTGTTTCCGCTCCATCTGGCGGGATGAAGGTCTTGGGGGTTTTTACAAAGGCTTCGGTGCACTGTTGATTCAGCTGTTTATTCACTGGCTCATCCTAAAGCTGACTCAGTTTGTGTATAAGGAAATTTCACAGGATTTTAAAGGCAAATAATTCATTGCTTGTGTGTCTTAAGAAATGAAGATCTTAATTAACAATATCTTAATATTGGGGTCATTCTTTGTACAGTTGATCCAGAGGTGATAATATTACTGTCAGGAGAAGTTAGATGCCAGCCACTCTTAGGGGTCAAGGGTTACACTTGAAATGACCATAAAAGATAAGAACAATCAAATATACGCATTTTTACAGGAAAGTATAACAGGAAACCTTCATTTTAAAAAAAAAAATGGAAGTTATCCTTGCACTCTATATTGTTGATTGAACACTTGTCTAAGCAGCCGTTTGCACACTGAAGTGAATGGTTTCGGTGTAGAACCTACATTCAATAATTGAATAGAAAGTATCCAGTGAACAAACTATCAGACAAAAAAATTGGTTTTTCGTACCCACCCGAGGTTCTAAATACCACAGCCTAAAAAAGTTTCTAACGTTAACTTTATACCTAGGGAGATGAATAACTTCACAATTATGTTATGATTTAGTTTGACTTTTTTATTTTTCATTTTCAAGAAAGACAAAGTAATAGTAAATCAAATATCAAGATAAATAAGCCTTTTTTACACCGAAAGGCAATGGTGAAATGTATTAGATTATCCGAAAAAAAGCATTTTCTTAGCCCATGGAAATTCTATCTTGATCCAATGTTATGAACTCGGCATGACTAGGATGGCTCACTAAATGACGTTCTTTCAGGTTGTTAAGACCAACCTGTCTCATACTTAAGCCAGAAATTCACGGTGTTTTGAAAGCGTTCAACTTTTTCTTTTGATAAAGCTCAATACAGAATGGTAAATCACCAGGATACCCTATGCATCCAGTATCAGAGATAAAATTGGGTCCCAGGTCACCGTCAGCGAAGTCTTGTTCCCTGTGCGACACAAGAAAATGATGAAAAAAGTAAAGGTGGGCTTGCATCTCAAAATAGTGTATCATAAATTAGCTTATTGCAATTTCGTCTCCCGTTTTCGTCCAATGTCAGGACTAATACGATTTGGAACCATCGGATTTTATCTTATAGCTTCCATTCACTTTTACGAGCAACCTCAGCGAAGGCCAAAGTACTCATAACTTAAATCTCGCTGCAAAGTGACGAGAAATCATCCTGTAACACAGTAACTCTTGCGAACGTTGCAGAATCCTAGCTTGAAATTCAAAACAGGATGTCTAAGCGTTGGTACATTCAACTACATAGCCTAAAACCAAGGTTTCGCGTGGCAAGCGACGCGAACGTGCGAGAGGCATGCAAGGGCCATACTTCTTGACAGCTTTCCCGACAGCACGAATCTCGCGGGTTTCGCCGCTCATACCGCAACGGTAAGGAGATTCTGCTCGCAGGCTCCCCGCTTCTCACCTGATAATTACGTGCTGGAATTGGCGGTGGTAACGTTTCCTCCTTAGGTTTCGGAGATTTTGGAGACTTGGGCGGAAGGGGTGGGGGCGCATCATCATCATCATCATCATTATTATTATTATTATTATTCCTATTTACGTCACGGAGAGCAACGTATTTCTGAAAGAGAAAGATATTTTGAGATCCTTCAAGTAAATAACCTACGATCAGGCGTTCTTTCTTGGGGGAGAGTAATGGTGCAGTAATGCAAGAGTCAGCGTAACAAGGGCAATCCCGAAAGTCGACTTTTGTGCTGCTATGACATTGAGCGTTCCCAAAATAGAACGCCTGATCACAGATGAATGAGTCACTGAATAAAAAACGTAAATGAAACATATTACCCATACGGGTATCAGGTAGACAAAGAATAAGAGAGTAACCCACCTTTTCCTCTAATACGTTGATCAGTTCCACATAATCTGCTTCTTCTTTAGACTCCTGAAAAAAAAATTCATCTATAAATAAAGGATGATTAAAGTAGCTGGAGCGGTAGAAATGAAAGAAAAATAATGTTAAGTTTAAATGAAAAGTAAGTGAAAGAGGTGAAGAGGATTATCGGAGGAGGATGACGTCTTTAACCTCTTGTCTCAGTCTTTGTTCATGTTCAGAGAATAAATTCCATTCTTTGACCCTTTGCATCCTAACATCCGTATATACATTCCCCAAACTGTTCTCTTTTCATTTCCAAATGTGCCGACAAGGAGAATTTGCTTAACAATCAAAAGCATCTTAAGTTGGTGATCATTCCCTTTATTCTCATGACCTTAAATGTGTGATTAAGAGGTGATAGTGTGAGAGAAAATACGACGTGAGTCACCCTCAGGGCTCGAAGTGTTAGGACAAGTGTACCGCTAGCAAGTAATCAGTTCAGTCTGACTTACCTGTCCACAAGGTTCAATGAGAACGTCTCCTTCTGAATTTATGGGTTCCTTTCGTTTGATTTGCAAATAAAAAAAATGAAGAAAGGGGAAGTAAGTTGAGTTCAATATTCTCTTCTCCGATGCAGCCACGAAGGGTCGTTCGATAATACCTTTAACTGTCTAAATTACGCTATAAAACATCCTCAGTTAAGTTCCGTGTCTGTGATGAAACCATAATGTGTAACAGAGAGTTTTCAATTGATTGTCGTCAAAACAAAATCAAAGAAATCTCAACAGCCAATGAGAATTCAAAGTAAAAACAATCAAACTGCCTAACGCGCGGGAAAACGCGGGCAACCAAAGTCGTGATTTGTTTAAGTTTTGCATCTGATTGGTTGAGAGAGTGGTGCGAATTTTCTGGACCAATCAGAGAACGAAGTAAAGCAAAACATCAGGTTATCGCTTCTACCTTTTACTGCTGACGTATTTTTTCAAAGGACTTGATAAGGTTGACCAGTTAAGAGACCGATCGATGCAATATGAGAGAGGGAGAAATCCTCACATCATATGAGCGAATGATCAAAGTGATAGAAATATCTTTTAATGCACACTGACAATTTCTTTAACAGATTTTAGCGCTGCGATTACCCTTTTGTGTACATTGACCATTTCCTTTAGAGATTTGTAGACTCGCTGCATTCCAACAATAAGAAACTTCCCAGAGCGGGTCTGATCGATCATGTAGTGCTTACAACGGCTCTTTACCCTGAAACAGAATTACGACATGAATCAGTAAAATGCAATACCAAGAGGCAGTAACTTCGGCTGAAAACGTATAGTTCGTTCTATCACTTCTCTTTTATCTCACCTGTATGATAACGTGTAACCAAACCGGCTTTCACTGACTCGGATCAAGAAACAACCCACTGGTTTGTTTGATAGCAAGCGCTCAGATTCCCTGAAACAAAAGCACCAAAACCTTATCTAAGAGTATCTTCTTTACAAGCGATAAATTAAAATTTTAGTTGTGGTTGGACACACGTGTACTTGTTATTGTCGAAAAGAAAGCCGACTGTGTGAAAAGAAGGTTGGTTTGGGCAAGATCGTTGGATAAATTCTCTTTTGAGAAATATGTTTTAAAAGACCTTAAAAGGCGCGGTCATTCAAAAACTCTGAGAGGCCCATGACGATATAAAGTCCAATGATTAATTAAGCTACATTTTATCTTTATGTAATCGGAGACGTTACGGGGTGGTCAGTTTTTTTAGAGAGAAAGAACAGATTGGGCGATATAACCAACTCATAGACTTCGATCTGCTACAATTTTTTTTCTCTCTCTTACACTTATTCTAAAGGAATTCACGAGAAAAATCACTATTTGATGCTGTAAAGTACTCAGTATTATCACATGAGTTGAAAATTTCGAAACTTTTGTTTCAATCTAAATAGGATGTACTTGCATAAAAAAAAATGAGTTGTAACGACAAATTTATACTCATATCTACTTGTCAGAGATAAAAGCTACACTTTAGTGCGTGGCTTTAAATGTTATAAGTAAATCAGATACACGATCGTAGCATTTGTTTGATGGACTTTGATTACCTCCTAGAAATAATTCCGTGAAACCATACACTGAATCCTCCACTCTCATCCTGTACAACTCCCTTTGGAACCTGTGTCTCTTGAAACCACTGCACGGCACTGCAACACAAGAAATTTCCACTTGAAAACTTCCCTCAGCAAACCAAGAGGCCTTACATCTAAGCCACAATAATTATAGGGAAACAGGTAACCTGGCTTCGCTTTTGGAATAACCACCTAAGTACTAGAAAGCTAGGTTTTAAAATAGTTTCGTTTGATAAATCTATGACCTCAACCCGTTTGCATAGCTATTTACAATAATTTATGTCAGATGAACCATATTTATTGGTAGGTGGGAGTTTAAATCGGGGCAAAAATTGCGAAACAAACGTTCTGATAGACAGACAGACTGACAGCCAAGCAAAGATCAGGGGGAAAAACAAACAGACACTTAGATATACAGAGATTAAGAGAGACACGATGCAACCCGGTTGATAAAATGTGTGGTACATACGCTGCTTTGTTGGCCACTCCACCAAATGCACCTTTGATAGGGTGGGGCTGACCAATAAAGACATCTTCTTCATCTTCCATGTCTTCCGTAAGAAACTCGTCTTCTATCTACAATGATAAAATGAACAAACCGAGCTGTAAACAGCTGCCATCTTGTCGACGCAAAAGAGGGTACATTTGGATATCAAACCCTTACGACTTCCATAAAGAGCGAGGGCACATCAAGAAGAAAAAAAGAACTTTCTGTATTTGAAATGATTCAGATTTGATGCCAATCATACCTTCCGATACGCAGAGGAAAAAATTTGAGGCTGGAGAAAAAAGTAAAACGGCCCAGAACCTGTTTTTAACCTGACGTTTTTTAGTTTCATTACATTGTCTCGGTGTGTTGAAGATTTTGAAAATTGAAAAATAAAAACCTCTACGGGTTTCTTGTCATGTTCTCGTGGCTGCATACCTCTATCTCATCAAGTGACCCATGGCTTTGCTTTGGAGGCAAGCCAAGAGCATCTGGTGGGGGTGGTGGAAAGTAATCCTCGTCTTCTTCAGTGGGTGGAGGTGGGAAATTTAAGGCAATATAATTCATAGTTCTCTTCCTTAGGATTTCTAGAACAAAGCGAGAAGTCAAGGTTGAATTCCAAAGTTAGTTTCAATAGAATCACGCATAGCATATTAATAAGAAAAAGAATCGGAGATTTCCAAACTGATGAAAGTTGTAAGT